AACAACACACGCTGTATACAACATACATAACACACGCTATATACAACATACATAACACACGCTATATACAACATACATACCACACGCTGTATACAACATACATAACAACACACGCTGTATACAACATACATAACACACGCTATATACAACATACATAACACACGCGGTATACAACATACATACCACACGCTGTATACAACATACATAACACACGCTATATACAACATACATAACACACGCTGTATACAACATACATAACACACGCTATATACAACATACATAACACACGCGGTATACAACATACATACCACACGCTGTATACAACATACATAACACACGCTATATACAACATACATAACACACGCTGTATACAACATACATACCACACGCTGTATACAACATACATACCACACGCTATATACAATATACATAACAACACACGCTGTATACAACATACATAACACACGCTATATACAACATACATACCACACGCTGTATACAACATACATAACAACACACGCTGTATACAACATACATAACACACGCTATATACAACATACATACCACACGCTGTATACAACATACATAACAACACACGCTGTATACAACATACATAACACACGCTATATACAATATACATAACACACGCGGTATACAACATACATACCACACGCTGTATACAACATACATAACACACGCTATATACAACATACATAACACACGCTGTATACAACATACATACCACACGCTGTATACAACATACATACCACACGCTGTATACAACATACATAACAACACACGCTGTATACAACATACATAACACACGCTATATACAACATACACAACACACGCTATATACAACATACATACCACACGCTGTATACAACATACATACCACACGCTGTATACAACATACATAACACACGCTATATACAACATACATAACACACGCTATATACAACATACATAACACACGCTATATACAACATACATACCACACGCTACATACAACATACATAACACAAGCTATATACAACATACATAACACACGCTATATACAACATACATAACACACGCTATATACAACATACATACCACACGTTATATACAACATACATAACACACGCTATATACAACATACATAACACACGCTATATACAACATACATACCACACGCTATATACAACATACATAAAACACGCTATATACAACATACATAACAACACACGCTGTATACAACATACATAACACACGTTATATACAACATACATAACACACGCTATATACAACATACATAACACACGCTGTATACAACATACATACCACACGCTGTATACAACATACGTAACACACTCTATATACAACATACATAACACACGCTATATACAACATACATAACACACGCTATATACAACATACATACCACACGCTACATACAACATACATAACACACGCTATATACAACATACATACCACACGCTATATACAACATACATAACACACGCTATATACAACATACATAACACACGCTATATACAACATACATACCACACACTGCATACAACATACATAACACACGCTGTATACAACATACATAACACACGCTGTATACAACATACATAACACTCGCTATATACAATATACATAACACACGCTGTATACAACATATATAACACACGCTATATACAACATACATAACACACGCTATATACAACATACATAACACACGCTGTATACAACATACATAACAACACACGCTGTATGCAATATACATAACACACGCTGTATACAACATACATAACACACGCTATATACAACATACATAACACACGCTGTATACAACATACATAACACACGCTGTATACAACATACATAACACACGCTGTATACAATATACATAACACATGCTGTATACAACATACATAGCACACGCTGTATACAGCATGCATAACACACGCTGTATACAACATACACAACACACGCTGTATACAACATACATAACACACGCTGTATGCAACATACATACCACACGCTATATACAATATACATAACACACGCTATATACAATATACATAACACACGCTATATACAATATACATAACACACGCTATATACAATATACATAACACACGCTATATACAACATACATAACACACGCTATATACAATATACATAACACACGCTATATACAATATACATAAGAGTAACGTTTATCTTAACAGATACATTAATATAACTAATATATAACGAGGAGAAATTTCAACTACTCAGTTATGGGAAACTTGAAGAAATTAAGAATGTATCAGGGTATACCACAAATTCTAACCATACAATAGAGCGGAAAAGTAATGTGAAGGACCTGGGAGTGATAATGTCAGAGGATCTCACCTTCAAAGACCACAACAATGAATCTACCTCATCTGCTAGAAAAATGATAGGATGGATAATGAGAACCTTTAAAACTGGAGACGCCAAGCCCATGATGATTCTCTTCAAATCGCTTGTGCTCTCTAGGCTGGAATACTGCTGTACACTAACGGCCACCTTCAAGGCTGGCGACATTGCAGACCAGGAAAGTGTAAGGCACACATAAGTACGATAAGGCACCTAAACTACTGGGAGCAGTTGAAGGTCCTTGCTCTGTATTCCCTCGAACGCAGGCGAGAGAGATACATGATAATATACACTTGGAAGGTCCTGGGGGGATTAGCACCAAGCCTGCACACGGAAATCACTCCCTATGAAAGCAAAAGATTCGGCAGGAGATGTAACATTCCCCCGATGAAAAGCAGAGGCGCCAAGAGTACACTGAGAGACAACCCAATAAGTATCCAGGGCCCCCGACTGTTCAGTTGCCTCCCAACATACATAACGGGGATCACCAACAGACCCCTGGCTGTCTTCAAGAAGGCACTGGACAGGCACCTGACCAACCGGGCTGTGGTTCGTACGTCAGCTTGCGTGCGGCCAGCAGTAACAGCCTGGTTGATGAGACCTTGATCCACCATGAGGCCTGGTCTTAGACCGGGCCGCGGGGGCGTTGACCTCCGAAACCCTCTCCAGGTAAACTCCAGGTAAGAGAATATTGAGGTCAATTACGAGGAAGTTCCTTGAACACAAGGAAGTTCCTTGAACACAGGGAAGTTCCTTAAACACAAGGAAGTTCCTTGAACACGAGGAAGTTCTTTGAACACGAGGAAGCTTTTTGAACACAAGGAAGTTAATTGAACACAATTAAGTTCCTTGAACACGAGAAAGTTCCTTAAACACGAGGAAGCTCTTTCAACACCATGAAGTTCCTTTAGCTAAACCTGCTCTGACACAAGGATTAAGCAGCAGAGAGAGAAGGGAGACATGGTAAGAACATGGGAGATACTCGTAACTTCTAACACAGTACTCGTCAATAACACAAAGGAGCTCTAATGGAGAATGTAAAACAGAGGATAAGAAGAGAATTAAATATTTCTGATTCACACTGAGGCCTTGCTTAAAGTTGTCTTCTGAAGAAGACCTCAAGGGTAGGACAAAACATTTGGTATTGCTTTCATTTTCTGTATTGAGCAAAATTAAAAGTCCCAACACCGTGGCTGTAACTTTTCCGTGGCTGGAACAACACCGTGGCTGGAGCAACACCGTGGCTGGAGCAACACCGTGGCTGGAGCAACATCGTGGCTAGAACACCGTGGCGGAAACAACACCGTGGCTGGAACAACACCGTGGCTGGAACAACACCGTGGCTGGAACAACACCGTGGCTGGAACAACACCGTGGCTGGAACAACACCATGGCTGGAACAACACCGTGGCTGGAACAGCACCGTGGCTGGAACAGCACCGTGGTTGGAACAACACCGTGGCTGGAACAACACCGTGGCTGGAACAACACCGTGGCTGGAACAACACCGTGGCTGGAACAGCACCGTGGCTGGAACAACACCGTGGCTGGAACAACACCATGGCTGGAACAGCACCGTGGCTGGAACAACACCGTGGCTGGAAAAGATGTAAGAATTAGCCACACTGAGGAGAGTAGTCTATGCAAGATGTTTCGGTCCTTCCTGAACCATCATCAAGCTATACAAGCGTGTTAAGTTGGACCTATACATCGTCTAGATTAAAGCTTCTCCCTCCAAAATCTGGATTATTTCCGAATGTTGTGTAGCATTTTTTCTGCATGGATAACTTTCTTCAACACTGATAACTGATAACAAACAAAAGCCTGTTAAACAAGAGAAGACCAACAACGACAGTTAGATTGTTCACAAATAACAAGTGAACGTTCATGAGATGCAGGAGAACGTAAGAGAGTATCTTATACCGTGTTAGGGCCGCGAGCAGCGGGAATGCATTCCGAGATAAGGTAGTGGGGCTGTAACTCCATGTAAGGAATCTGGCTTAGATAGGACGCAGCCTAAGATGGTACAGAGTCGCTGTACTAGTCTATTGATGGTCAGAGGCGGGTCCCAGGAGCTGTAACTCAACACTGGAAAAAACATTTGAGAGTATAACCCTGCTGTGTATAATGTAATTTATATAAAACAGTCTAGGGTTGATACTGGGAGATTATATTTTATAATTATTATTATTATTATTATTATTATTATTATTATTATTATTATTATTATTATTATTATTATTATTATTACATTTATTATTATTACACTTAATAATAATAATAATAATAATAATAATAATAATAATAATAATAATAATAATAATATTATTATTATTATTATTATTATTATTATATTATTATTATTATTATTATTGGAGTAATGTGTCAGCCATGACTACAATAATCTCACACAGTGTCGACCACACTCACGATGGTCAATATATTCCTTCCTAAAGCTTCTGCTGCCCCCCTCTCTCTCTCTCTCTCTCTCTCTCTCTCTCTCTCTCTCTCTCTCTCTCTCTCTCTCTTTCCCTCTCTCCCTCACCCTGCCTCTCACTGCCTGCTACTCCCACGACTCTCAGTATTCACACAGTGTTGTATTACAGGTGTGGGACGAGGAGCTGGCCACAGTGGCCCAGCGGTGGGCCGACCAGTGTATGCCTGGCCATGACCGTGCTAGGAACGTGGGTTAGTATTATCCTTAACATTCTCTCTCCTCCTCTACTCTCCTTCTTCACCTCTAGTCTCCTTTAGTGTCTTCATCTTTACGAATATATATATATATATATATATATATATATATATATATATATATATATATATATATATATATATATATATATATATATATATATATATATATATATATATATAATATTTATATATATACATATGTGTGTGTGTGTGTACGTCCACATTGAGCTGTAGTTGCCTTAAAAATTATTTAACGACTTATTTTTGTGCCATGGGTAAGCTGACTTATGCTGTTATTCTCTCGTCAATGTTGTTAATATAGGTTTGTGAACAATAAGGGACCTGATACTGAACCCTATGATAAACCACTGGTAATAAACTCTTATTCTGATGTCTTCCCTTTTATGCACACTCTTTGTTCCATATTTGTTAGCCATTCCTCGACATAAGAGATTTCTCCTCCGATATCATGTGCCGCTACTTTCTACAATAGTTTCCTGTGTGAAAATCTATCAAAGACTTTACTGAGGTCTATATCCAAATTTCGTATTCTTTATCATGGTTTATCACCTCGAATACTTCAAGGTCAACGTCAGTAAATGTGTAAGGCAAGCATGCTTTCTTTTGAATCAAGGATGAGAGTCATTGACAAATTACCAGCATATATTTCAAGGTGACTTCCAAATGTATCCCCAATTATATATTAGATTATTCTTTTTCCACAGTTAAGGTTAGGCTGATTGATGGGTATTTTGAAGTTAACGAGGACCTACAGTATTTCCTTCTTTGTAAATAGACGTCACATTAGCCATTATCAACATATGTAGCATAATATCTGTTTGTAGTGATTTATTGAAGAGACAAGCTATTGGTTTGCTGCGTTCCTCTTTACATATGTTTAAAATGCTTGAAAATATTTCGTGAGAGCGAAGTGACTTGCTTGTAGCATGTCACCTGTGACTGTATCCTTGGTGACTGAAGCAACAAGACTCATAGTTTACGATATCTTGATAGAACTCAAGTCCTCAGGAAAACGTGCTTTATACCCAACTGTGATCTCGTATAATTTATTTTCACTGTGTGTGACTTACTACGTCGTCGCGGCTTGTCAGGGTGGTCTGAGAATCAAATACAAGGTTAGTGTAGTTAACATATTCTTGTGCACAGAGGGAGGATCAAGCCTACAACCTCGAGTATAGTTAACACTCTTGTGTACAGAGGGAGTTTCGAGCCTACAACGTTTCATGTATTTGGGCCAATATCGTCTCGTATTTGTGTTACTTATGCTAATATTGATTCGTTTATATATGTATTTCGTCTCTAAGACTCAATGATTTGTCCACTAATGTGCTTTTAAACTACGCTAATGACACGCATTTATTAATCCACTGTAAGTCTACGTATGGCAGATTAATTTGTATAATTTTTAAAATTGATAAATCAATTACAGTTGGTTTAACATATTTGCTAATTGTTTGGTTTGTTCTAGACAGGAAACAGAAAGACAAATACACTTAATAAGCAAGTTTGTTCCTCCCATGACTGACAGTGCAGTAGTTAATATCGCTCGACTATCATTCGAGCAACATGAAAGCAACATATGCAACACACGTGCAACATCTGGGTAAAACGCACATATGTGGTTTTAAATCTTCGTCTTGCAAGACGGGATAAATTTGGCTTGGCAAAAGAGGTGCGGAAGATGAGAAGATTTGAGTGAGAGATATTGATGTGTTGCGTGAGGTTGGTAATGGCAGGTTGCTGGTGTGAGCAACATGTTGCAGCAGTCAACAGAGGTACTCCCCGACCCGACAACCTTCTCTCTCAGTTATCACTTAGTCATTACCTGAGTTGTAATAGTCTCTCATCAAGTGAGCAGCGTCTTAACCCACCTCCCTCACCCGACCACCCACCCTCTCCCACCTGCTCACCTTCCCTCCAACACCCACCCTCCTCCACCTGCCCACCTTCCCTCCAACACCCACCCTCCCTCCAACACCCACCCTCCTCCACCTGCCCACCTTCCCTCCAACACCCACCCTCCTCCACCTGCTCACCTTCCCTCCAACACCCACCCTCCTCCACCTACCCACATGCCCACCTTCCCTCCAACACCCACCCTCCTCCACCTGCCCACCTTCCCTCCAACACCCACCCTCCTCCACCTGCCCACCTTCCCTCCAACACCCACCCTCCTCCACCTGCCCACCTTCCCTCCAACACCCACCCTCCTCCACCTACCCACCTGCCCACCTTCCCTCCAACACCCACCCTCCTCCACCTGCCCACCTTCCCTCCAACACCCACCCTCCTCCACCTACCCACCTGCCCACCTTCCCTCCAATACCCACCCTCCTCCACCTGCCCACCTTCCCTCCAACACCCACCCTCCTCCACTTACCCACATGCCCACCTTCCCTCCAACACCCACCCTCCTCCACCTGCCCACCTTCCCTCCAACACCCACCCTCCTCCACCTGCCCACCTTCCCTCCAACACCCACCCTCCTCCACCTACCCACCTGCCCACCTTCCCTCCAACACCCACCCTCCTCCACCTGCCCACCTTCCCTCCAACACCCACCCTCCTCCACCTGCCCACCTTCCCTCCAACACCCACCCTCCTCCACCTGCCCACCTTGCCTCCAACACCCACCCTCCTCCACCTGCCCACCTTCCCTCCAACACCCACCCTCCTCCACCTGCCCACCTTCCCTCCAACACCCACCCTCCTCCACCTACCCACCTCCCCACCTTCCCTCCAACACCCACCTCCTCCACCTACCCACATGCCCACCTTCCCTCCAACACCCGCCCTCCTCCACCTGCCCACCTTCCCTCCAACACCCCCCTCCTCCACCTGCCCACCTTCCCTCCAACACCCACCCTCCTCCACCTGCCCACCTTCCCTCCAACACCCACCCTCCTCCACCTGCCCACCTTCCCTCCAACACCCACCCTCCTCCACCCTCCACCTTCCCTCCAACACCCACCCTCCTCCACCTGCCCACCTTCCCTCCAACACCCACCCTCCTCCACCTGCCACCTTCCCTCCAACACCCACCCTCCTCCACCTACCCACCTGCCCACCTTCCCTCCAACACCCACCCTCCTCCACCTGCCCACCTTCCCTCCAACACCCACCCTCCTCCACCTACCCACCTGCCCACCTTCCCTCCAAACCCACCCTCCTCCACCTGCCCACCTTCCCTCCAACACCCACCCTCCTCCACTTACCCACATGCCCCCTTCCCTCCAACACCCACCCTCCTCCACCTGCCCACCTTCCCTCCAACACCCACCCTCCTCCACCTGCCCACCTTCCCTCCAACACCCACCCTCCCTCCACCTTACCCACACTGCCCACCTTCCCTCCAACACCCACCCTCCTCCACCTGCCCACCTTCCCTCCAACACCCACCCTCCTCCACCTGCCCACCTTCCCTCCAACACCCACCCTCCTCCACACTGCCCACCTTCCTCCAACACCCACCCTCCTCCACCTGCCCACCTTCCCTCCAACACCCACCCTCCTCCACCTGCCCACCTTCCCTCCAACACCCACCCTCCTCCACCTCCCACCTCCCCACCTTCCCTCCAACACCCACCTCCTCTCTCCACCTGCCCACCTTCCCTCCAACACCCACCCTCCTCCACCTGCCCACCTTCCCTCCAACACCCACCCTCCTCCACCTGCCACCTTCCTCCAACACCCACCCTCCTCCACCTGCCCACCTTCCCTCCAACACCCACCTCCTCCACCTGCCCACCTTCCCTCCAACACCCACCCCTCCTCCACCTGCCCACCTTCCCTCCAACACCCACCCTCCTCCACCTGCCCACCTTCCCTCCAACACCCACCCTCCTCCACCTGCCCACCTTCCCTCCAACACCCACCCTCCTCCACCTGCCCACCTTCCCTCCAACACCCACCCTCCTCCACCTGCCCACCTTCCCTCCAACACCCACCCTCCTCCACTTTAGCGTCTCAGTCTACCCCTTTCTTTACCCGCCTCTTTAACCAGTCCTTTTCTTACTCTACATCTTCATTTGTTTAGTTTTACTGTTGGTGTTCCTCTTCCTCATCTTCCAGTCCTGCTAATCTTCCTCCTGCTTCTCTTCCTTTATTTTCCACTCCTCCTCATAATCATGTCCCGGTTCATATTTTCGACTTTTGAACTTGTTCTAACTCCTGTTCGAAGTTCCCTTCGTTCATTCCATGTTTAACATCCCACAGGATGCAAAATAACTTATGGAGTCCAGTGTTCTTCAAAATGCTTTCTTTTGTTGTTCAGTTTCCTCCCGATTACCTTTAAAATGCTACATCCTATCGACCTCGAATTTCGAAAGGTGTATTATGGCAATCAAAGGTTAGTGTTGATGCCAGGCAGCATAGTTACTTGATCGCCGTTTTTATAATCAACGAGAGTAAGTATCTGACCAGGTTCCTGCAGGAGGTAGAAGACTAGCGTAAGTCAACTCAGGTCATCAATACCTGTACATTCCTAGCAGATCTTCTATAGCTTAGTCGAATATTCTATATACGTTAGCAGCAGATATCATACACATTCCCAGCGGGTTTTATAAACATTCTCAACAAGTCTCATAAACATTCTCCGCAGGTCTTCTTTGCATTATCAAGACAGGTTATATATTCTCAGCAGGTCTCACATACACTGGACGCCGTAGTTAATAAGCTAATTAAAGCTATCAGGGGCATTGCTTTGAAGATTTAATTAAAATATATGTCGGTAGGATTTTCACAGTTGTTTCAGAATAATGGATGAGTGGTGTGTCCCTACCCCGAGTCGCCTTATTTAGAAGGTAGATCAGGGCTGAGGGAGAGTAGGAGGGAGAGTGGGAGGGAAGGAGTGAGTGATGGATGGAGGAAGAGAGGGAGGGAGGGAGTTGAAACATAGATTGATTGAACACAGCACATGGTCAGACTAACTCTTGTTATTTATATACACAAAGGCACTGTATGTGTGTGTGTGTGTGTGTGTGTGTGTGTGTGTGTGTGTGTGTGTGTGTGTGTGTGTGTGTGTGTGTGTGTGTGTGTGTGTGTGTGTGTGTGTATGTGTGTGTGTGTAGTCACCTAATTGTGATTGCAGGGATCGAGTCATAGTGTATGTGTATGTGTGTGCGTGTTTATATATGTATGTGTGTGTGAACATGTAACTAACGTGGACGTGTGCACAGCTCGCTTCCCCGTGGGTCAGAACGTGGCAGCGGCTTGGACCTACGACAGAGACGAGGGAGACACACCAGACTTCGCTACACAAGTGGAGGCTTGGTTCAACGAGGTGAACCAGTACGGCTTCTCCAAGGGCAGCGTTGACCCCTTCAGGTTCAACAAGGCAACGGGTCACTACACACAGGTGAGTACCTCGAGGTTGCAGGTCACTACACTCTGACAGCACGTCAACTCAACCTACACAACTTGTTCCCACTCACTCCGATTTAACACGTTCACACTTGCCTGCCGGATGATGAGTCTCTTAGCTATCGAAGCCCCTTTCAAAATCCTCCTTCCAGCCTATATAGAACTGTGATGAAAACTATAGCTGGCGCCCATTTCCTTCAAAAACTGCAAAAGACTCTCATTCTCTTGAAAAACTCGTGGAAGATTCTTATTCTGTTGAAAGAAAAACACAGGAAAATAAGGAAAGAAAATAAAAGTGAATAATTTTAACCAACAAGTAATAACTGTCAAGATATCAGGTTATAATTATCAGGGTATGAAGTTATAATTATCAAGATATCTAGTTACTATAAAAACTATCAAAATATAAAGTTATAGCTACCAAGATATCAAGTTATAATTATCAAACGTAATAACATTACTGAGAATAAAGACAACTCCGTCTTTGCTACTGTACATAATAGTGTCACTGAGCAAAACCAACAGAAACTCTACGGACTTTTGCTGCCACATTTCATAACTCTGGATATTCTTGGATAGTAATGATGCACAAGTTAGGCGGCTTGTCTGGCTAGCGATTAGTGGACGAAGAAGTTAGCCTCCACTACTTGCGATAATTTGCCCACACAGGTTTAGCGCGCCCAGCGAATAAATTTAAAACCTCCCATCTACTATTTTGCATCGATCTGCATATGAATTTCGTACCGAAAAGTGTACTCTGTGAAGAACAAGAGGAATATACGTTTCCCAGCAGGTCAGTGGAGCAAAAATGAATCATAATATTTATTTAAACTATAAACCCAATATCTATATAATGTAATATTAGGTATAAAATATAGTCATGACAAATATGGTAAAACAAATATGTTTACGTACGTTGAAAAAGTGTGGTAGAGGTAGGCATGTTATTACTGAATGATTTTTACGATACTTGTAAAGTAGGTATTGACTTAATAGACAGATGTCTTCTCTCATACAGATGACGCAATGGGTGTGTTAGATTGTGGTGGTTCTGTATGAGGGTAGTAATGGGTGTGTTAGATTGTGGTGGTTCTGTATGAGGGTAGTAATGGGTGTGTTAGATTGTGGTGGTTCTGTATGAGGGTAGTAATGGGTGTGTTAGATTGTGGTGGTTCTGTATGAGGGTAGTAATGGGTGTGTTAGATTGTGGTGGTTCTGTATGAGGGTAGTAATGGGTGTGTTAGATTGTGGTGGTTCTGTATGAGGGTAGTAATGGGTGTGTTAGATTGTAGTGGTTTTGTGTGAGGGTAGTAATGGGTGTGTTAGATTGTGGTGGTTCTGTATGAGGGTAGTAATGGGTGTGTTAGATTGTGGTGGTTCTGTGTGAGGGTAGTAATGGGTGTGTTAGATTGTGGTGGTTCTGTATGAGGGTAGTAATGGGTGTGTTAGATTGTGGTGGTTCTGTGTGAGGGTAGTAATGGGTGTGTTAGATTGTGGTGGCTCTGTGTGAGGGTAGTAATGGGTGTGTTAGATTGTGGTGGCTCTGTGTGAGGGTAGTAATGGGTGTGTTAGATTGTGGTGGCTCTGTGTGAGGGTAGTAATGGGTGTGTTAGATTGTGGTGGCTCTGTGTGAGGGTAGTAATGGGTGTGTTAGATTGTGGTGGCTCTGTGTGAGGGTAGTAATGGGTGTGTTAGATTGTGGTGGCTCTGTGTGAGGGTAGTAATGGGTGTGTTAGATTGTGGTGGCTCTGTGTGAGGGTAGTAATGGGTGTGTTAGATTGTGGTGGTTCTGTGTGAGGGTAGTAATGGGTGTGTTAGATTGTGATGATTCTGTGTAGGGGTAGTAATGGGTGTGTTACCTGGTTACCTGGAGGTTACCTGGAGGTTATTCCGGGGATCAACGCCCCCGCGGCCCGGTCCATGACCAGGCCTCCCGATGGATCAGGGCCTGATCAACTAGGCTGTTACTGCTGGCCGCACGCAGTCCGACGTACGAGCCACAGCCCGGCTGATCCGGCACTGACTTTAGGTATCTGTCCAGCTCTCTCTTGAAGGCAGCCAGGGGTTTATTGGCAATTCCCCTAATGCTTGATGGGAGGCTGTTGAACAGTTTTGGGCCCCGGACACTTATGGTGTTTTCTCTTAGTGTACCAATGGCGCCCCTACTTTTTATTGGCGGCATTTTGCATCGCCTGCCCAGTCTTTTACTTTCGTAGGGAGTGATTTCTGTGTGCAGATTTGGGACCACTCCTTCCAAGATTTTCCAAGTGTAGATTATGATATATCTCTCCCTCCTGCGTTCCAACGAGTACAAGTCAAGTGCTTCCAAGCGTGTTAGATTGTGGTAGTTCTGTATGAGGGTAGTAATGGGTGTGTTAGATTGTGGTGCTTCTGTGTAAGGGTAGTAATGGGTGTGTTAGAGTGTGGTGGTTCTGTATGAGGGTAGTAATGGGTGTGTTAGATTGTGGTGGTTCTGTATAAGGGTAGTAATGGGTGTCTTAGTGTGGTGGTTCTGTATGAAGGGAGTAATGGGTGTCAGCGTGATAGCACTGAATGGTCGTAGTAATACGTATGTTTTCTCCCACAGGTAAAGCCAGGAGCCAGAGCTTAGTCTCTCTACAGAATCTCCGTCACTACTAGTAGGTCCCTTCCACCCCCTTTCCCACCTCCCAATTTCCATTGCTCCTCTACCTCTCCCACCTCCTCTGCTTCTCATTCCTCTTACTCTCCCACTCCTCTTGCTCCCACTTCAATTCTTCCCACTGTGTCAGTGATTCTGGGAACCTTCCCACTTCTCAGCACCATGATATTTAACTGCAAGAAAACCTACCCCTGTCCCCATCCCTCAATACCTGGAGTGTGTCTCCCTCAAAGTTAACACTTAATATGTAAGGTTAATACTTGAAGTGCAGTGACAGTGTTGAGACTCACTGTTGCTTTGTGAGACGATGAGAGTGTTAGTGTCTTGCGTAGTGGTGGTGGTGGTGGTGGTCACCTCACCTGCCTCCAGAATGCCTCGGTGGGTCTGGCTTACCAAACCTGTCTTTCTGAATCACCACCACCACACCTGTCTTCCTTAATTAACATTACCACAAATGTCCTTCTTAATCACTACCACGTCCCTCTTCTCTTCTTTATTACTCTCCATATCTATTCTTCACCTGTGTGTATGTGTGTGTGTGTGTGTGTGTGTGTGTTGTGTGTGTGTGTGTGTGTGTGTGTGTGTGTGTGTGTGTGTGTGTGTGTGTGTGTGTAAGTGTGTGTGTTTGTCAATGAGAGTGGTAGGTGCATAAGACACATGTGCAGCACTTGGATATTTTTTTAGCTTTGCACGTGTGTCTTATTCATCTACTTTTTTTATGCCAATAATATGATAGTGTGAGTGGTGAACGATCTTATTCACCGTTCTTCTACAGTCTTATAAGTCTATCTTCTGTTATTACTAGATCTTCCAGTCTGTCCGTTTGCAGTAACCTAACTTCTTGCCCTTCCATTGCCCATGTCTCTTCTTTCCCTGTTCCCCTTCCCAGTAATAATTTACCTTACTTTTTTTATTCTCCACACCCCCAGTCCCATGGTTTCAACCAAATATTTCCACATGTCCTGTCGACCTTTCCTCAACCTTGACTCCCTGTCACCTGTCTCCTTCCTTCATCACCCTGTCTACATGTATTCCTCACGAATTCTGGGTTAAAAAAAATGTCTTGAAGTACAAAAAAAAACACAATGAGTTAACTATGGTTACTATGGCAATTGGCACTCCAGTATTGTCAAACATTATCTTAAAAAGAAGTTTGTTAAAGCAAATTATTGTATATATTCTCTTATGGGAGTGAACCTGAGGAATTGCTTTTGATGCTGAATTATATCCCTTCTTTCTCCATCCCAATGACTCCACGTTCCATTTCAATAACTACTTGTCCCATCTGAGTAACCATTTGTCTCATTCAAGTGACTTGTTCATTCAAACAACCCTTTTTCCCATTTCAGCAACACCTTTCCCATTCCAGTAACTGCTGGACCATTTCGGCGAAAAAGTTTCCATTTCGGCGACTCCTTGTCTCATTTCAGTGTCCCCTTTTTCCATACCCGCCACCACTAGTTTTAACACCTTCCCCGCCCCTTTAACTAAAGCCTTTTCGTCCAGTGTCAATTACAAAGTGAGATACCATCATAAAAGCCAGCTTGATCTGCCTGATATGTGTTCCAGTGCTCTAAAACACAGGAGCGCTATTAAGACCTCCTGAGAGGGAATATTTATTCCACACAGATTCTAATCAAGTCCATGTAGTCGTCTTTATTTGCCTCACTGTTTTTGTCATGCCTCTACAACCAAACAAGATCACATTAAGTTCATCTTTCATCGGATTGTATATGTTTAGCCTCGTATATTTTGATCATGATTTTATTTAGATGTTACCTGGGCAAATGAATCAGCTGTTTATCACCTGGATATAATAAAATGGTGAATTCCCCATGAAAACGATCAGCTGGCTTGTGATGGTGTTGGCTCTTGGTTCCGCCACACTGGCTCATATACAAACTTTCAACTCAGTATCTCTGGTAAGAGTTCCATTTCTTAAAGAAACTTACCTTTTAGCAACTGATGCCACAAATGTTGGGGCGCAGCAGGTGTTGGCAATAACAACAAGGATCATTAATGTGTTTAGTGCACACATACATACGCCTGCATATTCGGTTCTTGCGGCAGCTTGTATTGTCTGCGTTAGCAGGTGTGTCTGTCTGGTTGGTGGTGTTTTGATGGCCATAGGGGCAGTCGAAGCCTCCGGGGTAAGTATTGCGTAAGTAATTATACAGAGGGAGACTTTCTACAGAAGTTACTTCCTTGCCACGACCGTTACTTCCCTGTCATGACTGTCTCTTCCCTATCATGATCGTTACTTCTGTCCTAGCTCTTCTCTGTTATAATAGTCACTTCCCCTACCCTAAGCAATTCGTCCGTCTGAAACTCGTTGAACAGCTTCTCTTCCTGGTAGGAGAATGATAAATGAAGAGCAGACAGAGTTTTCCTGGACTAGACAGCATGAGTACAATCACTGTAGCGATCTTCTTTACTAGACCACTCCACAAAAACTTTAATCTAGACTTCTTGACTAGACAACTTCACTACTAGACATCATTGCTACCACATATTAGAAACACTCACAGGTCGATATAATCGAAACAATACAGACAGACGAGGTGGTAACCCAACTGAAAACACAGACACAGACACACACACACACACACACACACACACACACACACTCACACACACACACACACACACACACACACACAAACACACACTCACACACACACACACACACACACACACACACACACACACACACACACACACACACACACACTCACACACACACACACACACACACACACACACACGCATACACACACACACACACACACACACACACACACACACACACACACACACACACACACACACGACTCCTGCATGTAAACTTTATCTCGTACCTTAACATCTTCCTGATATTATACGTGACAAGTTTTCCGGTGACTGTGAACACTGGCAAGTTTGCATTACTTGTCTTATAAGATGGTGAGATGCTAACCTATTCTTTATAATTGTTCTTAATCAATATCATTGCTGCAGTAATAAGTCACTCTCTCATACCAATAATTATCTCTTCACTATAATTAATGAATTAATAGTTTAACCAAAATAAATAATAATGTATTCACTGTATTTCAGTTATGTACCTTATACCTTTGATATACCTTTGATGAGTCTCGAGTCATACTACTCACGGAGCCCGGCCATGGGCCAGGCTCATATATATATATATATATATATATATATATATATATATATATATATATATATATATATATATATATATATATATATATATATATATATAAAATTATATATGTCGTGCCGAATATGCAAAACTGGTCAATTAGCAAGAACTCATTTAAAATTAAGTCCTTTCTAAAATTTTCTCTTATTCGTTTAAAGATATATATTTTTCATTAATGTTAATGTAAAAATATTTAATTTTGCACCAAAAGAATCTTAGAAAACTTACCTAACCTTATTATAACAAGAACAATTTATTTTAGCCTAACCCAACTAAATATATTTTAAATACGTTTATAATAATTTAGTACTAAACAAACGCAATCAAATATATTTTTTTCGTTAGGTTCAGAATGAATTTGGCGAAATTATTGCATACACAAATTTTCACTTGTCCTAAATGGCAAGATGAGCGTTGCTATTTAAGCCAAGATCGCAAGTTCTGCCTATTCGGCACGACATATATATATATATATATATATATATAATATATATATAATATATATATATATATATATATATATATATATATATATATATATATATATATATATATAAAGACTTATTACAGTGAAACAATATTACCAAAATAAAAAAATACGCAATCATTTTTAGGTACTTGTTGCAAGTAGCTACTTAAAAACATTCTTAAATGATGAAATAACACTGTTTTTTATTCATTTTGTGAGTAACGTCAATACTATTCACTGTGTGATGAGAATATGTTTACCTGTGAATGCTAAAATTTATTCATTAGCCTGATGCAGCGGCCAGGCTGAATAAGCAGCAGGAAAATTTTCATTTGTAAATTAAATTTTAATCTTTGTTTTTCTATATTCTTTCCTGCTGTCTTCATTATCACCTGCTGCTGCGTCCCCTTCGTTACTGGTCCTCCTGCTACTGGTATCTTTGACGCTACTGACCACTGGTTCTGCTGCGTCTGACGCTACTGACTGCTGGTCCTGCTGCGTCTGACGCTACTGACTGCTGCGTCTGACGCTACTGACTGCTGGTCCTGCTGCGTCTGACGCTACTCACTGCTGGTCCTGCTGCGTCTGACGCTACTCACTGCTGGTCCTGCTGCGTCTGACGCTGCTGTTGGACTACTGATGTTGGGACTGACGCGGGTGTGGTAGATGGTGTGGGCAGAGACCTATCTAGTGGGATGTGGCTACGCCTACTACAAGGACCCATCGCTTGGCTACACCAAGATCTACGTCTGTAACTATGCCCCAGGGTACGTCCTTCATTCACTACTACAGATATTTAGGTAACTCGCTTTCCTGTAATTAGAGGACGGAGGATAGAGCCTTCACTACCATTTGTGCTTAATAACTTACAAGATTAACATTTTTACAAGCGCAAGAATAATAATAACAGTGGTAAGAGTGTGGTAAAAGCAATGATGCAATAACTCGTGTTATTTTCTCCCACAGTGGTAATGTTATTGGAGGATCCATGTACAAGCTGGGCTTCCCAGGTCAACCTTACTGTGTGAGTGACAGTCTTCAACCTTCACCTGTGTACCAGGGCTTGTGTGGTAAGTCTGTCTCTCATTAACTAACCTCTGTCTTTAGCACGCACGTTAAAAATATGTTCTTGCACTAATTTATTTGTTTATAGAAAAAGATAAGAGAACTAATATTTTTTTTTGAGTGCTCAGCATCGTGCATAAACTATAGTGCAGTTGAATTTTTTTATTGTTGATGATGGTGTGAAGTTGATGCAGCCATAACGTAACTTTATCATTTGCTCTTACACTCTCATTTAAAATGCTTAGTAATAACGTGCATTTAACAACATATTAAAATTTATCAAAAATATGTTAATGAAAACTATGAGAAAAAACTAGAGTAATAGGTAAAACTCTTCCTTCACACCCAATGTTCACTGTTTACACGCATTGTCTCTCTCAGTTTAGCAGGAGGACGATCAAGATTTCATCACTATAATAATAATAATAATAATAATTAGTAATAATAATAATGATAGAAATAATAATAATTATTACTATTAGTAGTAGTAGTAGTAATTAATTTTCTGTTGATTGTTGCAGATCGCGATACAGTAAGCAAGCCAGGTCCGTGTGGCAAGACCCCGTCAGCGTCCTCCCTGACACACCACCACCACAACAGTATATCATCTGCAGGAGCTCACTCCATCATGATGTCTCACCCCGCCCCTAACATGATGATGCCCCACCCCGCACCTCACCATCCAATGATGACCTCTCATGAATTCATGGAGCACGACGACCATGACATTATGAGACCTGGAGATTTCCTGATGAAGGGTATCCAGGAACCCTTCAAGGGGATCATGAAGATACTCAACCCTTGGAACATTATCAACCGCTTCACGAGATAGACGTAGGTCTTTGCGTCCTTATAACGTCAAACTCAGCGCCCCGGCGTCCACCTCACATAAAACTCAGTGTCCCGGTGCTCACCTCACATAAAACAGTGCGCAAACGTCCACTGCTTTTTGAGATCCTCGCTCTCAAATCATTCTCGTCGTCAGTAGTAACTAGCATTTAGTACTTTAGTTCTTATGAAATTGTAGTGCCTTAGTCAGGGTGTTTGTCGAGTGAAATGAGCGAGTGACTTCAAGAGTGTTCGAATATTGTGAGGTGAGGCACAGTTAGCCAGGCACTGGTTCCTGTGAGACATAAACACACGTCCTGTGAGGTACAAATATAAGGTACACAACATATGGCATTATGCTGTTTACTGTGGAACTAAAGCACATGTCTTGTTTCCTGCTGACAGGACAATTACACTTCGGGAATCTCATGAAAACCTTTATTTACGAGACTCTGGTAGTCCTCGAAACATATATTTAAGAAGGAAACGCATTTAAAACACACTTAATATATTAATTTACAAGTGTGACTGACAATACAAAGGTTTCGTCATTGATTTTGAATAGTAGAGTAGGTTGCTTACACGTGCGTTGTGTGTTTATATATGTGTATGTATGAGGTGGTACTACGATAGTAAATTGTCTTCTAGGAAGACGTAATCTTGTCATATAACAGTCGGGTTGATCAAGCTATCTTGTGGTGAGTCAGGGTCTTGCCAACCCTGCCACCTGGTCTCTGACCAGTCCTATTTCTAGTAACCTTGAACGAGTCAGCGCCTATTATTGTTTATTCTGTAATAAATAATTGATGCTTTAGCTGATCAGGCCTATATACTGTTATCTTAAATCAGGCAGTAAAACAGTGATTTGTTTTGAAATAAATCACTTATAAGTTATGTTGCCAGGCCTACATGTTAAGATCTTGAATCAGAGAGCACTAAGAGTGGTTTATTCTGCAATAAATCAAAGTTGAGTGCACCACAAGGTAAAACATGTGAAGAACAGGTATCATCAGGATTATTATCTTCCTGCACCGGCTGACTTACTGTGATAATAGTGTACGTTGGGAAGAAGACGCGCGTGTGCAATTATATAATAGGATATATCATATAGGATATACCTCAGAATGGTTGAGCAAAAGCAAACAGTTCATGACCTTGAGAGTTTGGATGAGTGAGCAAGTGGGAGTATAATTGTTAGTTGGGTAAAGTAGAAGTGAGACCAGCCAGCCGCCTCCATCAGTGGTCGGCTCCTATATTATAACTATAATATATCGCGCAGACGTTATTATTTTTCTACGTATATATATATTTTAATATAATCTTATATTATGGATGTTATAGAATATAAGGATTTAGTGTCATCACGGATTTTTTTTAATAAATTTATTTCAAAATTTGTGTGATAAAAATTTAAGGTGATAAAAGGTGTGTGTTATCCTTTTTTTCCATTATAATCTTCGAAAAATTGTACTTTGGTGAGTTTTTCTGCTTACAGTGAGAAAAATTTAGGACTTCCCTAATCAAAATTGAAACTATTAAATGCATAATATAATAGTACATATAACAGTACATTGTTAAGAATACCAGTCAGTAAATGTCAGGTGATTAGAATTAGTGACAATATTAATAACCAGTTTTTCGACTGTGTCGACAAAAAATATTGAATTTACAATATCTGAAATTTTTTTTTTAGTTTTTTAGAGGTTATTGAAGAGGGAAATATTTTAGAATAGTTATATTACTGCTGAAATATTATTAAGAACTTTATACAATATTACCAAAAATATTTGTTAAATATCAAAAAATTAAAAACTTTTCTCAAATTAGTTTCTTACATTATGATATTGTTAATTATTAAATATAATATTTCGTGTCATTTATTTGAAAATATATGATCAATAACTGTGAAATTTTTTTCATAAGAATTATGTACTTATTCAACAAATGAAGGAATAATATAATATTTTAAAATTAGTGAACAGTGTATCCCTGGCTCAGTGAACAGTGTATCCCTGGCTCAGTGACCAGTGTATCCCTGGCTCAGTGACCAGTGTATCCCTGGCTCAGTGACCAGTGTATCCCTGGCTCAGTGAACAGTGTATCCCTGGCTCAGTGAACAGTGTATCCCTGGCTCAGTGAACAGTGTATCCCTGGCTCAGTGACCAGTGTATCCCTGGCTCAGTGACCAGTGTATCCCTGGCTCAGTGAACAGTGTATCCCTGGCTCAGTGACCAGTGTATCCCTGGCTCAGTGACCAGTGTATCCCTGGCTCAGTGACCAGTGTATCTCTGGCTCAGTGACCAGTGTATCCCTGGCTCAGTGAACAGTGTATCCCTGGCTCAGTGAACAGTGTATCTCTGGCTCAGTGACCAGTGTATCCCTGGCTCAGTGACCAGTGTATCCCTGGCTCAGTGACCAGTGTATCCCTGGCTCAGTGAACAGTGTATCCCTGGCTCAGTGACCAGTGTATCCCTGGCACAGTGAACAGTGTATCCCTGGCTCAGTGAACAGTGTATCCCTGGCTCAGTGACCAGAGTATCCCTGGCTCAGTGACCAGAGTATCCCTGGCTCAGTGACCAGTGTATCCCTGGCTCAGTGACCAGTGTATCCCTGGCTCAGTGACCAGTGTATCCCTGGCACAGTGAACAGTGTATCCCTGGCTCAGTGAACAGTGTATCTCTGGCTCAGTGACCAGAGTATCCCTGGCTCAGTGACCAGTGTATCCCTGGCTCAGTGACCAGTGTATCCCTGGCTCAGTGACCAGTGTATCTCTGGCTCAGTGAACAGTGTATCCCTGGCTCAGTGACCAGTGTATCCCTGGCTCGGTGAACAGTGTATCCCTGGCTCAGTGACCAGTGTATCCCTGGCTCAGTGACCAGTGTATCCCTGGCTCAGTGACCAGTGTATCCCTGGCTCAGTGACCAGTTTATCCCTGGCTCAGTGACCAGTTTATCCCTGGCTCAGTGACCAGTGTATCCCTGGCTCAGTGACCAGTGTATCCCTGGCTCAGTGACCAGTTTATCCCTGGCTCAGTAACCAGTGTATCCCTGGCTCAGTGACCAGTGTATCCCTGGCTCAGTGACCAGTGTATCCCTGGCTCAGTGACCAGTGTATCCCTGGCTCAGTGACCAGTTTATCCCTGGCTCAGTGACCAGTGTATCCCTGGCTCAGTAACCAGTGTATCCCTGGCTCAGTGAACAGTGTATCCCTGGCTCAGTGAACAGTGTATCCATGGCTCAGTGACCAGTGTATCCCTGGCTCAGTGAACAGTGTATCCCTGGCTCAGTGAACAGTGTATCCCTGGCTCAGTGACCAGTGTATCTCTGGCTCAGTGACCAGTGTATCCCTGGCTCAGTGACCAGTGTATCCCTGGCTCAGTGACCAGTGTATCCTTGGCTCAGTGAACAGTGTATCCCTGGCTCAGTGACCAGTGTATCCCTGGCTCAGTGACCAGTGTATCCCTGGCTCAGTGAACAGTGTATCCCTGGCTCAGTGAACAGTGTATCCCTAGCTCAGTGACCAGTGTATCTCTGGCTCAGTGACCAGTGTATCCCTGGCTCAGTGACCAGTGTATCCCTGGCTCAGTGACCAGTGTATCCCTGGCTCAGTGAACAGTGTATCCCTGGCTCAGTGACCAGTGTATCCCTGGCTCAGTGAACAGTGTATCCCTGGCTCAGTGAACAGTGTATCCCTGGCTCAGTGAACAGTGTATCCCTGGCTCAGTGACCAGTGTATCTCTGGCTCAGTGACCAGTGTATCCCTGGCTCAGTGACCAGTGTATCCCTGGCTCAGTGACCAGTGTATCCCTGGCTCAGTGAACAGTGTATCCCTGGCTCAGTGACCAGTGTATCCCTGGCTCAGTGAACAGTGTATCCCTGGCTCAGTGACCAGTGTATCCCTGGCTCAGTGACCAGAGTATCCCTGGCTCAGTGACCAGTGTATCCCTGGCTCAGTGACCAGTGTATCCCTGGCTCAGTGAACAGTGTATCCCTGGCTCAGTGACCAGTGTATCCCTGGCTCAGTGAACAGTGTATCCCTGGCTCAGTGACTAGTGTATCCCTGGCTCAGTGAACAGTGTATCCCTGGCTCAGTGACCAGTGTATCCCTGGCTCAGTGACCAGTGTATCCCTGGCTCAGTGACCAGTGTATCCCTGGCTCAGTGACCAGTGTATCCCTGGCTCAGTGACCAGTGTATCCCTGGTTCAGTGAACAGTGTATCCCTGGCTCAGGTGACCAGTGTATCCCTGGCTCAGTGAACAGTGTATCTCTGGCTCAGTGACCAGTGTATCCCTGGCTCAGTGACCAGTGTATCCCTGGCTCAGTGACCAGTGTATCCCTGGCTCAGTGACCAGTGTATCCCTGGCTCAGTGACCAGTGTATCCCTGGTTCAGTGAACAGTGTATCCCTGGCTCAGTGACCAGTGTATCCCTGGCTCAGTGAACAGTGTATCCCTGGCTCAGTGACCAGTGTATCCCTGGCTCAGTGACCAGTGTATCCCTGGCTCAGTGAACAGTGTATCCCTGGCTCAGTAACCAGTGTATCCCTGGCTCAGTGACCAGTGTATCCCTGGCTCAGTAAACAGTGTATCCCTGTCTCAGTGAACAGTGTATCCCTGGCTCAGTAAACATTGTATCCCTGGCTCAGTAAACAGTGTATCCCTTGCTCAGTAAGCATTGTATCCCTGGCTCAGTAAGCATTGTATCCCTGGCTCAGTGAACAGTGTATCCCTTGCTCAGTAAGCATTGTATCCCTGGTTCAGTAAACAGTGTATCCCTTGCTCAGTAAGCATTGTATCCCTGGTTTAGTAAACAGTGTATCCCTGGTTCAGTAAACAGTGTATCCCTTGCTCAGTAAGCATTGTATCCCTGGTTCAGTAAACAGTGTATCCCTGGTTCAGTAAACAGTGTATCCCTTGCTCAGTAAGCATTGTATCCCTGGTTCAGTAAACAGTGTATCCCTTGCTCAGTAAGCATTGTATCCCTAGTTCAGTAAACAGTGTATCCCTGGTTCAGTAAACAGTGTATCCCTGGTTCAGTAAACAGTGTATCCCTGGTTCAGTAAACAGTGTATCCCTGGTTCAGTAAACAGTGTATCCCTGGTTCAGTAAACAGTGTATCCCTGGTTCAGTAAACAGTGTATCCCTGGTTCAGTAAACATTGTATCCCTGGTTCAGTAAACAGTGTATCCCTGGTTCAGTAAACAGTGTATCCCTGGTTCAGTAAACAGTGTATCCCTGGTTCAGTAAACAGTGTATCCCTGGCTCAGTGGAGGATCACATTAGCTTTACGTATATATATCAATAAAGTTCATATGAAATCACCAGCATTATTTCTCAGTTTTGAAAAAAAAGATTATTTTAATTAATATTTCATCTCAGTAAACCTCATTTTAATTCATACATAATTAAAACAAATACAATATGCATGTTGCATATATATATATATATATATATAATATATATATATATATATATATATATATATATATATATATATATATATATATATATATATATATATATATATGTATGTATGTATGTGTGTGTGTGTGTGTGTGTGTGTGTGTGTGTGTGTGTGTGTGTGTGTGTGTGTGTTAAGGTGTAGTCAGCTTAGTGCATGTTGGCTGGCTGGCTGGCTGGCAGGTTGGCTGGCTGGCTGGCTGGCTGGCTGGCTGGCTGGCTGGCTGGCTGGTCGGTTGGCTGGCCGGCTGGCTGGCTGGCAGGTTGGCTGGCCGGTTGGCTGGCTGGCAGGTTGGCTGGCCGGCTGGCTGGCAGGTTGGCTGGCCGGTTGGCTGCCTGGCAGGTTGGCTGGCCGGCTGGCTGGCAGGTTGGCTGGCCGGCTGGCTGGCAGGTTGGCTGGGAGAGGGAGGGTTCTTAAAAAGACATATTAACAGAAGAGGCTATTTATTGTATTTATAATAAAATGCTTTTCACTGGAAGTGACAAACTTGATAAATATAATCTATACAATAACACATTTGTTTACTTATTCCTTCTTTTATTCTTATTTGTGTTTTTTGTGTTTGTGAATGTCCGTAATCGTGAGTGAAAATCCACAGCAGACAGTGTAGTGAGTGTAGAGGAACCACGACTCTTCAGCACACTCCCTCTATACCTAAATAGAAATGCAAACAAACCTCTAGCTTTCTCAAAGAGGGAACGTAATTAGCTCCTCGAGTCAGTATACCAATGTGGTGCATACGTTGAACTGTGTGCGGTTTGTACCAAGAATAAGTAAGTAAGTTTATTCAGGTATACACAAATACAGTTACATAGAATTATCATACATAGCAGCATATGTGTAGAGAACCTGGGATAACCCCAAAAAGTCAGACAGAGTGACTTATTTCCATGGCTGGTCAGGCCATCCACCAGGAGGTGTGGTCAGAAACATCTATGATCTTACTTATACAGTTCAACACATTACATGATCAGTTCTCTTCGAGGAAGGATAAGACTTGATGATGATGATGATGAAGGGATCTTAATCCAAGGAATGTGAGTTATCCTCCTCTTTTGCAGGATACATAAGGGGAGATTACTAATAAACCCCTAGCTGTCTTCAACAGGGAGCTGGACAGACACCTCAAGTCAGTACCTAACTAGCTGAGTTATGGTATATATGTAGCAGTAACAGCCTGGTTGATCAAGCCCTGATCCACCGTGAGGCCTGGTCATGGACTAGGCCGCGGAGGCGTTGACCTCCGGAATACCCTTCAGGTACCCAGGTAAACCTTATTTCCTCCCTCTCACTGGTTTAGCGCTTCTCCATGATCAACAAATAATAATAATAATAATAATAATAATAATAATAATAATAATAATAATAATAATAATAATAATAATAATAATAATAGACAGAGTGGAGGAGGGAGTATGAAGGAAGTGAATGTATACAGATATTTGGGAGTGGACTTGTCAGCAGATGGGTCTGTGAAAGACGAGGTGAGCCATAGAATTGATAAGGAGAAAAAAGGTGAGTGGTGCAGTGAGGAGTGTGTGGAGACAAAGGACATTATCCATGGAAGCAAAGAGGGGAATGTACGAGAGTATAGTCGTGCCAACACTATTATATGGATGTGAAGCATGGGGAAGGCTGGAGGCAGTGGAGATGTCGTGTATGAGGGCAATGTCTAGTGTGAATATAAGGCAGAGAATCCATAGCTTGGAGATTAGGTTGTGTGGGGTTTCCAAAAGTATTATGCAGAAGGTAGAGAAAGAATTCTTGAGGTAGTTTGGACATTTAGAGAGGATGGAACAAAATAGAATGACTTGGAGGGCATATAAACTTGTAGTGGAAGAAAGGCTGGGTCGGGGGGTCGTCTTAGGAAGGGTTGAAGGGATGGGGTATAGGTTTTGTGTGCGAGGAGCCTGGATTTCCAGCAAGCGTGTGTGAGCGTGTTAAATAGGAACGAATGAGGACGAATGGTTTTTACGACTTGACGTGCTGTTTGAGTGTGAGAAATGTAACATGTATGAAGGGATTCAGGGAAACTGATTAGCCAGACTTAAGTCCTGGAGGTGGGAAGTACAGTGCCAGCACTCAGAAGGAGGGGTGTTGATGTTGCAGTTTTTTAACTGTAGTGTAGGAGTGCCTCTGGCAAGACAGTGATGGAATGAATGACGATGAAAATGTTTCTTCTATTTCTGGTCACCCTTCCTTGGTGGGAAGCGGCTGATGTGTAATAAAAAAAATAATCTTGCAGTAGTTAAAAAGGAATCATGGAACATTTACAAAGCTCTTCTTATTTTTGTATCTATGACAAATGACTTAAGTACATATCCTAGCACCTATGCTTTAATGCCCATCTACACTGCAGTAATATATCTTGCTGTAGAATTTCTCACCACTGCTGGTGCACTACTGGTTCATCCTGAAGCTCTTACCACTGCTGGTTCATTCTAAACCTCACCACTGCTGGTGCACGACTGGTTCATCCTGAAGCTCTCTTACTACTGCTGGTGCACTTCTGGTTCATCCTGAAGCTTACCACTGCTGGTGCACTACTGATTCATTCTGAAACTGAGACTGACTGGTGGTGTAGTAGCTAGGCTACTACACCACCAGTCAGAGAATGTAAAGTATTATTTTGGTTTCTTAAGCAGAAGTTTTCAAAACATTATCAGAAAAGAACTCTTAAATAAGTGTGAGGAGAGGAGAACAGTAGAGACAGGAATAAGCAGATCAGTTGTCCATCATTCTGAAATGTGTCTAGTAAAACATGACAACGGAGAATGTAACAAGGTCAGCACATTACAAGACGTTGATGCTGCTAGAATAAGGCTGGGCTGTGTCTCTGGCAGTAAGGTTTGTATAGAGATGTCAGTGACATTAAATGCAAAGTTAGTGGACAGAAACAGCGCCTTACACTGGAGCAATATATCTTAGAGTGACTAGATATCCAACGTTTTCAAGAAACCCAGTGGAAATAAGTCACATTTTTTTCCCTAGGTAATTTACACTCTGTGATAATTGTACTTAAGTATAGCTGTGCCTAAATAAGCTTAATTATTAACTTATTTACTAACCTTCTAGAAACACCTCTATGCCAAAAGTGTTGAGACAGTAGCCACATTTTGCATCCACCAGATGAATGAGCAGTGATTGAATAAGACTACAACCGAATAATAATCAGTTTTTTTTAGTGGTAATGAGATACTTAAAATTTCCCGAGATTGTATACCTGTATTGCACCGTGCACATTAGTCCTGTAAAGTAACTGGAAAGAGAAACAGGAACATGAAATTTCTAAGTAAGATCAGATGGACCAAAGATCTGAACACCGGTAGAGCCACGATTATTATTATAATCAAAAGGAAGCGGTAAACCACAAGGGCTATACAGCGCTCGGCAGAGCCACGAGTCTCATAATGAAGCCTCTTGTTCTTCATGTTGATATTTTAAGGACCACTGACAACTTACTCTATACCAAAGCTAGGCGATTAAGTAAGTATGTAAGGAAGTAAGTTTATTTAGGTATACACAAATACAGTTACATAGATTATCGTACATAGCAGCATATGTGTAAAGTACCTAGGATAACCCAAGATAGTCAGAGTGACTTATTTCCATTGGGGTCCTTTGGATAATAATAATAATAACAATTATTATTATTATTATTATTATTATTATTATTATTATTTTTATTATTATTATTATTATTATTATTATTATTATTATTATTATTATTATTATTATTATTATTATTATTATGTGCGGGTTATTTGTGTATCGTTCCAGTCACGGTATTGTGCCTTTTTTGTTATTTATTATTATTATTAGTTTTGGTACGCCTTAAGCTGTCAGAGGTCCTTACAATCCCAACATGAAGAACAAGAGGTTTCATTATGAGACTCACAGCTCTGCCGGTGTTCAGATTTTGGGTCCATCTAATCTTACTTGGAATTTTCATGTTACTGTTTTTCTTTCCAAAGAAAACATTGCCTCCTTTATATTTCTTACCCGTGTTTAGACAACATATTTTTTCTACTTCTGGTTGGCAGGGCTCAATAAAGCGTACACTTTAGTGACTCTTAACAACCTGAATGGAAACAATCAGTAGTAGTAGTAGTAGTAGTAGTAATAATAATAATAATAATAATAATAATAATAATAATAATAATAATAATAATAATAATAATAATAATAATAATAATAATAACATCTTTATTTACTACCAGTACATGTACAAGGTATACAGGCCTAGCTGATATCAATGACATACTACTATATAGAAAGCCCCTTGGTATGCAGAGCATTTCGGGCAAATTAGGTCAGTTTTTCCCCAGGATGCGACCCATACCAGTTGACTAACACCCAGGTATCCATTTTACTGATGGGGAGCATAGACAACCGGTAACACGTCTGATGTTTCCACCCCTTCGCCGGGAATCGAACCCTCACCGTGTGAAGAGAGATCTTTTGCCAGCAGGCCACGGGGCATCGTAGACCCCGATGGAAATAAGTCACTTTGTCTGACTTTTTTTGGGTTATCCTAGGTAGCTTGCACATGTGCTGCTATGTATGATAATTTATGTAACTGTATTTATGTGTACCTGAGCCTCAGATACAGGTACAGGTACACATATAACTTTTAAAGTTTAAATAAGTTCACTCAGGTACAGGTACCTGTGAATATTAAAATGGTATAAAATACCGACAGGTTGTTAGGTAAGATACATATGCAACAGTTAGGTATCTTTATTTCGAAGCGTTTCGCCTACACAGTAGGCTACTGTGTAGGCGAAACGTTTCGAAATAAAGATACCTAACTGTTGCAAATGTGTCTTACCTAACAACAGGTACCTGTACCTGAATAAACTTACATGGTCATGGATCATGGAAATGAGCCACTTTGTCTGACTTTTTTGAGTTATCCCAGGTTCTTTACACATATGCTGCTATGTATGATAATCTATGTAACTGTATTTATGTATATCTGAATAAATTTGCATAGTTAAGATCCCTGAGGTGGTATTGACCCTTAAATCCAACAATAATAACTTGTTGTGTTGTTGTTGCTGCTGGTGGTGGTGGTGGAGAACTCTCCCACGTCATGCCCTTCGCCGCGCCTGTCTCCCCGCGGGTGTTCAAAGCCATAGAAAAGAGTGATATACACACTCTAGCATGCTGCCGCGAAGATGAGATAAGACCCATCCTGCCGTGTCTGGTCAGGATGAGCCTCATCGCCCCCCTGGATCACTCTGAGGAGTGTATCGCCGGTAGGAAGGTCATCCTCAGGATCCTCTCTGGCATAGAAGTGGTTAATTCTCTCGTAGCTCTTCTCTCTATAGACTTCCCGGCGCTTGAGGTTGATGTTAAGAAAGAACAACAGTTAAGGTGAGGGATAAGATATTTCTCTGTAGAATATATGCTGGGTTAGAGATCATTTTTGTTTGGATTTTAGATCCTTGATGCTGGTGAGGGGCTCTTGATTTAGGGAATTGGATCTGTGCTCCGGTTCCCTGAATTGAGCCTGAATACCTTCCACCCCCCCCCAACATGTCCTGTATAATCCTATGGGTTTAGCACTCCCCCGTGATAATAATAATCTGATTTTTAACCTGGATGGTTAACCACCCAGGATAACCCAAGAAAGTCAGTGGGTCATTGAGGAGTCTATCTTACTTCCAGGTATACTCTCCTGGGGTTCTTCACTCTTGTTCCCCAGGATGCATCCCACACCAGTCGGCTAACACCCAAGTACCTACTTACTGCCAGGTGAACAGGGACAGCAGGTGTCTTACGGAAATATGCTCAATCTTTCCACCCGGTCAGGGCTCAAACCACAGACGCTCAGTGTGTGAGGCAAGAGAGTTGCCTACCAGGCCACGGGACACCGTAGTCATCTCTTATAAGGGGAAATGTGCTGCCTTGGTACCAGTGAAGGGCTCTTGATTCAAGAAATTGGAGCTACCCTCTCCTCCCTTGGATTAAGCCTGATAACCTCCCATAATCAAGGCACTGTATGACCCGTATGGGTTTAGCTTGTCCTACTGACTGTGATAATACATATGTAATCTATATATACAACAGTTGGTCATTAAGAAAAGTTAACGTATTATAATGGTATAAGAACAAAATGTCACATTACAGCAGATGAACACAAAGACTTGTGAGATGTATTCCAGGCAGCCAACATGTGCAGCACTGTATGACCCTTGTGGGTTTAGTGCTTAGTTTTGATTGTAATAATAATGTGGCAACATTACGATATTTCTTTTTCTGTGGTCTTTAAGCCTTCCCAGGAAGGTACTTTGGTGCTGGTAAAGTAGTCTTGATTCAAGGAATTGTAGCTACCCTCAACTTCTATAATCTTAATTGTGAGATGATGACATAAACTAACAGATGGAGGAATTTTTTTTTTTTTTTTTTACTGTTACAAGGTTTTGTCCATGATTTAATCAAGTATACATAAAACACAATGGAGGTAAATGGTATAAAATGCTGATATGATGTACAAAGAGACACACGATACATTACAATGCAGTCCTTTATTGACCCCAGTGGAAGTAAGTCACTATTTTGGGTTATCCTAGGTAATTTACACTATGTATGATAATTGTATTTATGAGTACCTGTGCCTAAATTAAAGTTTGTACTTTGTTTTGCCCACACAGTGGGCTTTATCTAGTCACAAAAATATTACATTAGGAAGGAAGGTGAGCATATATGTACAAGGAGAGTTAGTAAGGTGAAGAGTCAAGTGAGTTGTGTTAAACTTATAACTTTGTGTTGCTTTAAAATCAAGTTGAGCAAATGTATAATTGAGATGTGTTGGACTTGAGAAAAAAAATGCCTAGAATGTGTCATTAAACATACTGCAGTGGTCTTCCATACTCTTAATTGTCGCTGTATGAGAAATGGATCTAGAAGTATTGATGATATGCTACATTTTCTTACTTGTGTAACTTCATTTATATACTGATGAAGAAAAGAAAATTTTTATATTATGACACTCTGTTGACCATATATCTACAGTTTTAGCCTCATAGGTTGCCCAGTTTATTTTTTTATAGTTGACATCTTCAATTACTATAACTTTCTTATCATCTCAGCCACTTTTCAAAAATAGTTCCCTCATTTACCTTGTTATATTTTTCTCTCTCTCATGTTATATTAAATGGTGGGTTGCACAAGGATGGTTTTATGCAGACCATATAGATAGCTTTGTCTCTTCAGAATTGGTAATACTGCTGTATAAATTAGGAATATACATTTAGCAAAAGTGAAATATTTTGTGTGTGTATCAGTAGCTAATTGTTTGTGGTAATTATTCTTCTTTCTTTCAATGCACTGGTTATATCCCACCGAGGCAGAGTGGCCCAAAAAGAAAAATGAAAGCTTTTCTTTATAAATTCAGTAATGTATACAGGAAAAGGGGTTACTAGCCCCTTCCTCCCGGCATTTTAGTCACCTCTTACGACATGCATTACTTATGGAGGAAGAATTCTGTTCCACTTCCTCATGGAGATAAGAGGAAATAAACAAGAACAAGAACTAGTAAGAATAGAGAAGAAAACCCAGAGGAGTGTGTGTGTATATGCTTGTACATGTATGTGTAGTGTAACGTAAGTGTAAGTAGAAGTAGGAAGACGTACCTGAAATCTTGCATGTTTACGAGACAGAAAAAGACACCAGCAATCCAACCATCATGTAAAACAATTACAGGTTTCCATTTTGTGGTAATTATCCAAATTAAATAATTGCAGGCAGAAGCTAGGTGGCGGCAATCAAAATGAAAGTGTTCTCGTTCAGAATCTTGCTAACGGCCTTGCCCTGGAGTTTGAATGTTCAGATCCCACACGGAGATTGCGACTACTTCTCTCTGAGATTCTTCTGGTCATGGCTCAAGTAAGTTTATGTGGTTTTCTTGTTTAAGTATGTAAAATATATGCTTAAGGATGCAAAGTTTTCATACTTTATTTTAATTCATGAGAAGGAGATAAATGAAGACTGGGTTATAAGTGCACTTGCCCATATTTCAGTAATTACTTTATTTATCTGATAACTTTAACCCTTAAACTGTCCAATACACAAATAACCCGCACATAAAAGAGAGAAGCTTACGGCGACGTTTCGGTCTGACTCGGTCCAAGTCTGACCGAAACGTCATCGTGAGCTTCTCTCTTTTATGTGCAGGTTATTTGTGCATCGTTCCAGTCACGGTATTGTGCCTTTTTTTGTTATAAACTGTCCAAATGTAGCTCTACGTTTACTCGCGTAGTGCTCTGACCTTAATTTTCTCCATAACAATGTAAAAAACGTAGATCTACGTTCAGAGCACTACGCGAGCAATCGTAGATGTACGTTTGGACAGTTTAAGGGTTAATGTTGAAATTCCATAGTTATTCAAAGCAGTGATGAGGATTATTGTGATGAGATGGCTAAATTCATGATCATCACATTTTACAAGCCAAGAGTCACATACCTCCCCCTTCTGCTCCTCAATCCAGTAAACGATGTATGATTTAGGCTCTTTATTAAAAATCAGATCATACAAGTGCAAATATGATTTTCTTTCCTTATTTCACATGATTGTTTCCATGGATAAATTGCTCAGTAGCTTTGCTTGTGAACATGTTGAATTGTAAACATTTTATTCATAAACCAGCACTGTAAGTAGGCAGCTTCACTCTTGTAAGGAACTAGTCTTTATCCCCTCACTTCCTCACATTTTTTTTTTATGTATATCATTAATACATTATATCATTTCAGTGAAGGGGTCTTTTTAAAAGAATTTGAGCTTCATTCCTTTTTCCCCTAGATCAAACATGATCATAGTGCTGTACCTCTCATTGTCCTACATATTTAGTACTTTATCATGAAAATACAGTGGACCCCCGGTTAACGATATTTTTTCACTCCAGAAGTATGTTCAGGTGCCAGTACTGACCGAATTTGTTCCCATAAGGAATATTGTGAAGTAGATTAGTCCATTTCAGACCCCCAAACATACACGTACAAACGCACTTACATAAATACACTTACATAATTGGTCGCATTCGGAGGTGATCGTTATGCGGGGGTCCACTGTAATAATTTAATACATGATGTGATTTAGGCTTCTTTTTTATGTATAGAATACAGTATGTATTAATTTACAGTCAAGTGATAATGATTTTCCTTGTGTAATAATAATTAAATGCAGATTGCTTCTGCATATACATTTATTGTCTGTTTGGTTTTGATATATTGTATATACACATATGAAATCATTAAGAATGCTTTTTCAAATAGGTGGAAGAATTTTGTGATTCAGGCTGCCCAAAATGCCTCGGCATGATAGTGGCTTTCTTTGCACTTAGCAAATCAATACAGCTTCTCCTCACTTAGCAACGTACTCGTTTACCGACGCCTCGAGCTTACGACAGGCTCTCTGACCAGTATGCATGCCTAAGTAATGTATATTAGAGCTGATTTCCTTTATTCTTTTTATTACAATATACAGTAGGGCCCCGCCTTACGGCGTTCCGCTAATATGGCGATGTCAAATTATGACCAAAATTTGCTATACGGCAAGCGGTCTTTCAAAACGGCACCCCCCACCCGGTTTGTTTACATTCTCCGTGACCACATCTATTATGTCAGGAAATTTTCCAAAATTTCAAGTTTTTAAAGCCACTGCGTATTTTATATGTACTCTGATAATTATACTTATGTGTACCTGTACCTAAATATACTTACACACTGTGCTGGTGTGCAGATACACATTAAAATCGTTAAGTCTCTCTACTCATGACGCCAATACTACGTAATAATAATCACTCTTGGGCACACTAAATGTCTTATTTTACATTATTATAGGCATTTTCATTAATCCATCTATGATATTTTCCTCAAAATTATATATGAAAACTGTTACATAGCATATAAACATGATACATACACTCGCAGAATAAAAATTGACGTAAATGTGAGATTTGTTTACAAAGCTGCTGTGTAGGTGGTGTCGGAAGAATTACGTTTTCTCTAGTCAAACTGGAGGATAACTGTAGAAAAATATTCTTTTCGTATGCCTTTACTCTACATGTATATATAACAATTCACGACCCTTGTGGGTTTAGTGCTTTTTATTATAATAATAATAATATTATTATTATTATTATTATTATTATTATTATTATTATTATTATTATCTTCATTCACTAAAAATGGTGTGTTGCTGTTTGTTTATTCTGTACTAACTTGTACAACTTGTACACAATATAAGAGTATTTGTATTGTGAGGTAATTATTTTATTATCTTATTTTTTTTTATTATCACACCGGCCGATTCCCACCAAGGCAGGGTGGCCCGAAAAAGAAAAACTTTCACCATCATTCACTCCATCACTGTCTTGCCAGAAGGGTGCTTTACACTACAGTTTTTAAACTGCAACATTAACACCCCTCCTTCAGAGTGCAGGCACTGTACTTCCCATCTCCAGGACTCAAGTCCGGCCTGCCGGTTTCCCTGAATCCCTTCATAAATGTTACTTTGCTCACACTCCAACAGCACGTCAAGTATTAAAAACCATTTGTCTCCATTCACTCCTATCAAACACGCTCACGCATGCCTGCTGGAAGTCCAAGCCCCCGCACACAAAACCTCCTTTACCCCCTCCCTCCAACCCTTCCTAGGCCGACCCCTACCCCGCCTTCCTTCCACTACAGACTGATACACTCTTGAAGTCATTCTGTTTCGCTCCATTCTCTCTACATGTCCGAACCACCTCAACAACCCTCCTCAGCCCTCTGGACAACAGTTTTGGTAATCCCGCACCTCCTCCTAACTTCCAAACTACGAATTCTCTGCATTATATTCACACCACACTTGCCCTCAGACATGACATCTCCACTGCCTCCAGCCTTCTCCTCGCTGCAACATTCATCACCCACGCTTCACACCCATATAAGAGCGTTGGTAAAACTATACTCATACATTCCCTCTTTGCCTCCAAGGACAAAGTTCTTGTCTCCACAACTCCTAAGTGCACCACTCACTCTTTCCCTCATCAATTCTATGATTCACCTCATCTTCATAGACCCATCCGCTGACACGTCCACTCCCAAATATCTGAATACGTTCACCTCCTCCATACTCTCTCCTCCAATCTGATATTCAATCTTTCATCACCTAATCTTTTTGTTATCCTCATAACCTTACTCTTTCCTGTATTCACCTTTAATTTTCTTCTTTTGCACACCCTACCAAATTCATCCACCAATCTCTGCAACTTCTCTTCAGAATCTCCAAGAGCACAGTGTCATCAGCAAAGAGCAGCTGTGACAACTCCCACTTTGTGTGTGATTCTTTATCTTTTAACTCCACGCCTCTTGCCAAGACCCTCGCATTTACTTCTCTTACAACCCCATCTATAAATATATTAAACAACCACGGTGACATCACACATCCTTGTCTAAGGCCTACTTTTACTGGGAAAAAATTCCCCTCTTTCCTACATACTCTAACTTGAGCCTCACTATCCTCGTAAAAACTCTTCACTGCTTTCAGTAACCTACCTCCTACACCATACACTTGCAACATCTGCCACATTGCCCCCCTATCCACCCTGTCATACGCCTTTTCCAAATCCATAAATGCCACAAAGACCTCTTTAGCCTTATCTAATTATAATTATTATTATAATAAAAAAATATTGAGGTAAATGTTTTACAAACTCTTACAAACGTACGCGAATGAACTGAAAGTAGACACATATTAATACGCATTTATTTCGCCTGACCAAGTGATCGCCCACTACCTGTTCAGTTTGTGTTCTTACATTGTCTCAACTCTGTATCTCATTCTCTCTCTCGTTTACTCTTTCGTTAACTAGTTGGCTCTCATTGATGATGGCGTCTAAGGTTAGCTGTGATAAAAAGAGAAGTCGTAAGCCTCTTGCTTTAGGTGCCAAGTTAGAGGATGATGGTGTGCCATTCTGATTTTATTTAATGAACACCCTGCCACTCACCTCTCACACATTAATATTAATATTTTAAGGTAAATAATAAGTGTACTCTGTGTGTATATTACCTTTTATTGTGTTTTTAATGCCTATTTCTATTATTAACTTTGATGTTGGTGAGGGGGTCTTGATTTAGGGAATTGGATCTGTCCTCCAGTTCCCCGAGTTAAGCCTGAATGCCTTCCACATCCCTCCCCCAGGCGCTGTATAGCCCTACGGGTTTAGCGCTTCCCCCTTGATTATAATAATAATAATATTGCTAACTTAATATAAGTTAATGTAAACTTGTTGTCTGGCATTTATTGCATATTTTATATGTGCTCTGATAATAATACTTGTAGAGCTGTGTGGTAGCCGGGTGGAGGGACAACATTACGTTTTCTCTGCTCAGCCATCAGAGAAAACGTGTATGAATCTGCGTTTGGCCCAGCCACTCCCCCACTTCACTTTTGTTTACAATTTTCAGCATGAATTATTCATTACTTCTCCCTTTGTTTATGATGGCATCTAAAGGTAGTTGTTAGAAATGATTAAATTCAGTAAACAAGGTATGTCGATGTTAATAATATGGCTCTGGGCCACAGTGTAGGTAGCCGGTAGATGTAGCCCAGGCGGGCTACACCTACCGGCTACATACACTGACTTCCTACAAATAAACACTACTCACCTCTCTTCCTATATTAAGACTACACATATTTTAAGGTAAATAATGAGTGTACTGTATGTGTATTTTACTTCTCTGGAATGTTTTAAATGTCGTATATTAAGTATGAGACGGGGAGCCAGGGCTACCTACATCTGGGCTACCTGCACCTGACAAATAAATACTACTTGCCTCTCTCCCTACATTAAGATTACAAATACTTTAAGATAAGTAATGAATGTACTGTGAATGTATTTTACTTTGTGTGTTTTTAATGCCTAGTTCTATTACTAACTTAATATAATTTAGCGTAAACTTGTCTGGCATTTATATGCATTTATACATAGAAAAAAATGGCATTCTGCATTCCGGCGATGTCTGCTTTCCGGCGACAGCCTGGAACCTAACCCGCCGTATAAGTGGGGCCCTACTGTACACTACACTACTGTATAAACATTTAAAAGTATATACCAGAAATGTTATAAATGGTGCAGTGATGACATTACAACAATATCAAAGATAGTTGACACACACCCACTACCATTATAGTAGGCTTCTCACTTAGCAACAAATTCGTTTACTAACATAGTCTTAGGAACGGAACTCCGTCGTTAAGTGAGGAGAGGCTGTATTGTAATTACCAATTGTAAACTATGCATAGAAATAGACTCCTTATAACATGTCAGTCACACATGGTAAACTATGCAAAGAAATAAAGATTTGAATTTGAATGTTATTTTACCTTGGTTTTTCAGGACCCCAGTGGAAATAAGTCACTCTGTCTGACTTGTTTTGGTTATCCTAGGTTCTCTACACATATTCTGCTACGTATGATAATTTATGTGACTGTATTTGTGTATACCTTAATAAACTTACCTATAACCATAAACTAAAATTTGTCTTTCCATTCCACAGATTCGGGAGCCTCGGCAGGACTTTTACCACAAATCCTCAGAGCTGTTTGATAACCCATGTTACTTAGAAGAAGTGAGTGATGTGTTGTGTATTGCCTTGGCAGAATTGCCAGCATTATTACCTCCAGCGGAAGTTGCAGAAGCTCTTCTCCATGTGACCAATGGCCCAACACTTATTGCTCGCATGGTGGCTAACCAACCAGATTGTTTCAGAGAAGGTACATGTATTTAATGACCTCTTGCATAGCACACCACTTCCCTTTTATAGATAATTCCTCATGACTTTTATTCCTGAAAGATGTAATATTCTCTGAGAAAACATCTGAACTGTACCCTTCTTTCCTCATCACAAACATATCTAAAACACAACAATAAATTAAGAAAACATAGTTTAGACTGTGCAGTCAAATATCAGTACTGTACAGAACTTTACTGAAGAAGCCATTAGTATTAACTGGGAAAATGAGCTACATAGTGTATTCAAAATATCAATGTATAGGGGTTAGAAATATCCTGAATAAAACCTTTTTCCAAGGACTTGGTGCTTTTGGGAGATTCTGAGAGTAGTTACAAAGGTTGGTGAATAAATTTGGAAGGGTATGTAAAGAAGGAAATTTAAAGCAAACAGAGAAAAGAATAAGGTGATGAGGGTAACAAAAACATTAGGTAATGAAAGACTGGATGTCAGATTGGAAGGAGAGTGTATTGTGGCAGTGAATATGTTCAGATATTTAGGAATGAACTTGTTGGCAGTCAGGTCTTTGAAAGACAATGTGAACCATAGAATTGACAAGGGAGAGATTTCTGTGGAGACAACATTATCCATGGAGGCAAACTGGGAAAATGTACGAGAGTATAATGGTACCAACACTCGTATGGGTGTGAAGCATCGTTTATGAATATTGCAGCGAGGAGGCTGGAGACAGTGGAGATGTCATGTTTGTGGGCAATGTATGGTGTGAATATTATGTAGAGAATTTAGAGTTTGGAGATTAGGAGGTACTGGGTTACTAAAAGGATTATCCAGAGAGCTGAGGAGGGGTTTAGGTGATATGGACATTAAGAGTGGATGGAGCAAAATAGATGACTTGGAGGGTGCATAAATCTGTGGTGGAGTAAAGGTAGGGTAGAGGGTTGTCCTAGGAAAGTTTGGAGGGAGAGAGGTAAAGAAGGTTTTGTATGCGATGGGCTTGGACATCAAACAGGCATGTGTGAGCATGTTAGATAGGGGTGAGTTGAGGCAAGTAGTTTTTATGACTTGATGAGTTGTTGGAGTGTGAGTAAGATAATATTTGTGAAGGGATTCAAGGAAATCAGTTAGCAGGACTTGAGTCCTGGAGGAGGGAAGTACAGTGTCTGCACCCTGAAGGAGGGGTGGGGATATTGGTGTTTGGAGGGGCATCTGAACTGTAGTATTGCCATGTCTTTGGCAAGATAGTGATGGAGTGAGTGATGGTGAGAGGTCACCTCTACCTTGGTGGGAGATGGCTGGTGTTAAAATATATATTGGTTTTCACAATCCAAAGTTATCATCTTTTAGCAAAACAAATCTCTTCAAAAAATATTGTTATTATAATCATATTGAGGAATTGTTAAATGTTGATGAAGATAGGGAAGCTGTGATTTCGTGTATAGGGCAAGGAGGAATAACATCTTGTAGGAGTGAGGAAGAGCCAGTTGTGAGTGTGGGGGAAGTTCGTGAGGCAGTAGGTAAAATGAAAGGGGGTAAGGCAGCCGGGATTGATGGGATAAAGATAAAAATGTTAAAAGCAGGTGGGGATATAGTTTTGGAGTGGTTGGTGCAATTATTTAATAAATGTATGGAAGAGGGTAAGGTACCTAGGGATTGGCAGAGAGCATGCATAGTTCCTTTGTATAAAGGCAAAGGGGATAAAAGAGAGTGCAAAAATTATAGGGGGATAAGTCTGTTGAGTGTACCTGGTAAAGTGTATGGTAGAGTTATAATTGAAAGAATTAAGAGTAAGACGGAGAATAGGATAGCAGATGAACAAGGAGGCTTTAGGAAAGGTAGGGGGTGTGTGGACCAGGTGTTTACAGTGAAACATATAAGTGAACAGTATTTAGATAAGGCTAAAGAGGTCTTTGTGGCATTTATGGATTTGGAAAAGGCGTATGACAGGGTGGATAGGGGGGCAATGTGGCAGATGTTGCAAGTGTATGGTGTAGGAGGTAGGTTACTGAAAGCAGTGAAGAGTTTTTACGAGGATAGTGAGGCTCAAGTTAGAGTATGTAGGAAAGAGGGAAATTTTTTCCCAGTAAAAGTAGGCCTTAGACAAGGATGTGTGATGTCACCGTGGTTGTTTAATATATTTATAGATGGGGTTGTAAGAGAAGTAAATGCGAGGGTCTTGGCAAGAGGCGTGGAGTTAAAAGATAAAGAATCACACACAAAGTGGGAGTTGTCACAGCTGCTCTTTGCTGATGACACTGTGCTCTTGGGAGATTCTGAAGAGAAGTTGCAGAGATTGGTGGATGAATTTGGTAGGGTGTGCAAAAGAAGAAAATTAAAGGTGAATACAGGAAAGAGTAAGGTTATGAGGATAACAAAAAGATTAGGTGATGAAAGATTGAATATCAGATTGGAGGGAGAGAGTATGGAGGAGGTGAACGTATTCAGATATTTGGGAGTGGACGTGTCAGCGGATGGGTCTATGAAAGATGAGGTGAATCATAGAATTGATGAGGGAAAAAGAGTGAGTGGTGCACTTAGGAGTCTGTGGAGACAAAGAACTTTGTCCTTGGAGGCAAAGAGGGGAATGTATGAGAGTATAGTTTTACCAGCGCTCTTGTATGGGTGTGAAGCGTGGGTGATGAATGTTGCAGCGAGGAGAAGGCTGGAGGCAGTGGAGATGTCATGTCTGAGGGCAATGTGTGGTGTGAATATAATGCAGAGAATTCGTAGTTTGGAAGTTAGGAGGAGGTGCGGGATTACCAAAACTGTTGTCCAGAGGCTGAGGAAGGGGTTGTTGAGGTGGTTCGGACATGTAGAGAAAATTTGGAGCGAAACAGAATGACTTCAAGAGTGTATCGGTCTGTAGTGGAAGGAAGGCGGGGTAGGGGTCGGCCTAGGAAGGGTTGGAGGGAGGGGGTAAAGGAGGTTTTGTGTGCGAGGGGCTTGGACTTCCAGCAGGCATGCGTGAGCGTGTTTGATAGGAGTGAATGGAGACAAATGGTTTTTAATACTTGACGTGCTGTTGGAGTGTGAGCAAAGTAACATTTATGAAGGGATTCAGGGAAACCGGCAGGCTGGACTTGAGTCCTGGAGATGGGAAGTACAGTGCCTGCACTCTGAAGGAGGGGTGTTAATGTTGCAGTTTAAAAACTGTAGTGTAAAGCACCCTTCTGGCAAGACAGTGATGGAGTGAATGATGGTGAAAGTTTTTCTTTTTTCGGGCCACCCTGCCTTAGTGGGAATCGGCCGGTGTGATAATAAAAAAAAAAAAAAAAAAAAAAAAATTGAGGTACCAAACTACTTACAAAAAATTTAAATAATTATATATGTTTCAGTTGTAACAGGATTGGTTATGACTGGAGATAAGCAGGATGAAGATTCACCTGGTGGTTTATTACGTCTACAAGCTGTACGAAAACTTTGCCAGATGAATCCCAGCCAAGCTCTCAATGTCAGGGCTCTCTGTGTAAGTATTAAAATGTGGCTTTGTATAGTTTCACCGAAAACTCTCGATTTAACCGACTTCAGAAGTACAGGACAAAATCCATTAGGTTAAGTGATTCAGGAGCAATAAAATCTTTTGATGCAGAATTATCCATTATTGTTACAATGATGACCAGACACTTATCTTTCTATGCCACACTCACCATTACTGGTCACCTGCTTTTCCCTATTAGTCTCTTAAATTGAGAGTTTATTGTATTAATTTCTCAGTTCTTAAAATATAAAAAATTTGAACAAATAGTAATGAATTTAATTTTTGGGGTCACTTTGCCTTGAGAGATGGCAGCTATGGTAAAAAAAATATATATTCAGGTGGGTGTCAAGCATGAGTGGTGACTGTTGCAACAAGGAGAAGGCTGGAGGCAGTGGAGATGTCATGTCTGAGGGCAATGTGTGGTGTGAATATAATGCAGAGAATTAGTAGTTTGGAAATTAGGAGGAGGTATGGGGTTACTAAAAGTATTATCCAGACTGCTGAGGACAGGTTGTTGAAGTGGTTTGGACCATTGAAGAAGATGAAATGAAATAGAATAACTTGGAGAGCTTATAAATCTGTAGTGGAAGTAAAGCAGGGTAGGGGTCAGCCTAGGAAGGGTTGGAGGGACAGGGTAAAGGTTTAGTGTGTGAGGGGCTTGAACTTCCAGCAAGTGTATGTGATCATGTTAGATAGGAGCGAGTGGAGACAAATGGTTTTTATGACTTGATGTGCTGTTGGAGTGTGAGCAAAGTAACATTTATGAAGGGATTCAGGGAAACCGGCAAGCTGGACTTGAGTCCTGGAGGTGGTAAGTACAGTGCCTGCAGTCTGAAGGAGGGGTGTTGATATGTTTCAGTTTTTCAGCTGTAGTGTAGGCGCACTTCTGTCAAGACAGTGATGGAGTGAATGATGATGAAAGTGTTTCTTCTTTTTTGGGTCAACCTGCCTTGGTAGGAAACAGCCGATGTGTTAATAAAATAAAAAATATTGCTGTTTAACATCTTTGCTGCTATGTACAATACTGTATATCACAGAAATAGTAGAGGACACAGTATTTTCTGTCACTTGTTATCAATTAATGTATATTATGGTTTTAACCTGTATTCCATTTTATTCATTAATTAATTAATAATTTATTTTAAATGAAGGGTATTTTTTTCAGGTTGAGCAATGTAGGATGCCAGGTCTAGCAGTTTACCTAACACTAGATGCTGGTAAATCTGGATCAGGTGTTGCAGGAAGTAATGTGAGTGTAGGAAGTGGTGTTTACAAAGGAGAAGGAGGAGATGTTGTCAGTTATGTGACAGGGTTGCTTCTATCACACAACCATCAGCAGCGCACCTGGTTTGCACAGTTCGTCAAGAGTGGCCAGAGGGTAAGGGTTTTAGATATTGCCTTTTGTTTTGGCTGTCTCATTTGTAGTACTGTATTGTAGTACAGATGTAAATTATATAAATTGTTTGGAGCACCTAGGATATGGGACAGATTGTTTTTATGGGGCTTCTGGTTTACACACTGAAGTCACCAGATATATATGTCCTGGTAGACTTTTTCTCCAAAATAGTCCAGCTCTGCCTTGTTCTATGTACTTCTTGAATTTGTTACTGAAGAATGCTGTAGCAGATTGCTGTAGGCTGTCCCTGATGGTATGAAGAGTTCATTATCCTCTTAAAACTAACTACTCTTGCGTGAAATAGCTCTGTGATTGATGAGGAATCAGTAATTACCTGTTTGAGTTTCAGAGCAATAGCTCTACCAACAGTCTTTGTTTCCTTCCAAATGTGACCGAGTTAATAGTTTTTTCATTAATGAAGAAAACTGATGGAAAGTGTTTTCTTGCTCGATGTTGTACCCAGTGATTTGCAGGGTCATAGCCTCTAGGAAGAACGGAAAATGTAGGAAATGTAGTCATATTATCATAATAAATTTAACATAGTCTTTGGCACTATTTAACAGTGGTATTAAAGTATTTATTCTTATAAACTAGGCCTATAGACCTATACCCTAAGTTACTGTTAACTGACTGATAACCTATTTTGGGTGCACCCCCTTCTCCCCTGCTTTTGAGAAGTTACTAAGGCTAAGGCCTGGCAAATATGCTTACTATCTTTTCTATCAGTGAATTTTGTAAACTGACTGTATTCTCAGCTGAAAGTGATGTAGATGCCCTAATAGCTTTCTGAATCTTGTCCGCATTTTTCCCATGAAGCAAATGGTGAACTCATTTAAACAACAGCTCCAGTCCATGGTGGATATGCATCACTCTGCTCCTTCATGTTGACTATCTTCATCTAGAAAAATTTCCTTCTTTCTTTCTACAGATGCCTCAAGAAACCATATCCCTTTTTTTCCCCCCATCTATTCTCTGGTTCTCTGCCAACATGTCCACCACCAAATATCTAGGTACATTCAGTTCCTCCATACTCCCTCCCTCCATTTGGATATCCAGTCAGTCATTGTTCAAACTTATTGTTGTTCTCTACACCTTGCTCTTTTCTCTTGTCTTAGTTTTTTTTTTTTTTTTCAACAAGTCGGCCGTCTCCCACCGAGGCAGGGTGACCCAAAAAAAAGAAAGAAAATCCCCAAAAAGAAAATACTTTCATCATCATTCAACACTTTCACCACACTCGCACATTATCACTGTTTTTGCAGAGGTGCTCAGAATACAACAGTTTAGAAGCATACACATATAAAGATACACAACATATCCCTCCAAACTGCCAATATCCCAAACCCCTCCTTTAAAGTGCAGGCATTGTACTTCCCATTTCCAGGACTCAAGTCCGACTATATGAAAATAACCGGTTTCCCTGAATCCCTTCACTAAATATTACCCTGCTAAACACTCCAACAGATCGTCGGTCCCAATTACCATTTTCTCCATTCACTCCTATCTAACACGCTCATGCACGCTTGCTGGAAGTCCAAGCCCCTTGCCCACAAAACCTCCTTTACCCCCCCTCTCCAACCCTTTTGAGGGGCGACCCTACCCCTCCTTCCTTCCCCTATAGATTTATATGCTTTCCATGTCATTCTACTTTGATCCATTCTCTCTAAATGACCAAACCACCTCAATAACCCCTCTTCTGCCCTCTGACTAATACTTTTATTAACTCCACACCTTTTCCTAATTTCCACACTCCGAATTTTCTGCATAATATTTACACCACACATTGCCCTTAAACAGGACATCTCCACTGCCTCCAACCGTCTTAGTATATAGTATAATAACAATTATCCTGATGTAATTAATCTGTTTCTTGTTAATTTTTTATTTGCAAAATTGCTAGAGAAATAATCACTAGGGTGATTGTAGAGATTGTAGAGTCAGAGTGATAATGATTTATTATGTTAATACAGTAAATAATTCCTCATGATATTGGTTTTAGTTTACCTTTTATTCCACAGAGGAAATACGAGCAGCAGGCCTCAGCCTTAGTGGCTCTACGCACAGACCTCAGCGAGCGGCTGAGAAATCTCCTACTCTTCAACAGCAATGACACCTTACCAGACTCTCAAGTGATCCATGCCACAGCTCTGCTCAGACTCTATTGTGCACTCAAGAGCTTAGCTAATCTTAAGTAAGAATTTTAACGTATAGAATATTTAAGAGTACAGTAGTCCCCCCATATCCATAGGTGATACATTCCAAGACCTACTGCAGATGCCCGAAAACAGAAGATAGTAGTGAACCCTATATATAAGTCGTTTTTCATTTACATACATAACTATGATAAAGTTTAATTGATAAATTATGCACAATAAGACATTATGATGTTGATGGTTGGGGATTGTTGATAATAGACATGATCTATTTTTCTTCTTTCTTTCTTTCAACACACCGGCCGTATCCCACCGAGGCGGGGTGGCCCAAAAGGAAAAACGAAAGTTTCTCCTTTTAAATTTAGTAATATATACAGGAGAAGAGGTTACTAGCCCCTTGCTCCCGGCATTTTAGTCGCCTCTTACAACACGCATGGCTTACGGAGGAAGAATTCTGTTCCACTTCCCCATGGAGATAAGAGGAAATAAACAAGAATAAGAACTAGAAAGAAAATAGAAGAAAACCCAGAGGGGTGTGTATATATGTGCTTGTACATGTATGTGTAGTGTGACCTAAGTTTAAGTAGAAGTAGCAAGACGTACCTGAAATCTTGCATGTTCATGAGACAGAAAAAAGGACACCAGCAATCCTACCATCATGCAAAACAGTTACAGGTTTTTGTTTCACAGTCATCTGGCAGGACGGTAGTACTTCCCTGGGTGGTTGCTGTCTACCAACCTACTACCTATATGATCTATTTTTCAACCTTTTGAAAAAAACATCATGATAGGAAGTTGTTGATTCTCTATTCAGCTCATCAGACATTTACTGGAGAGGATCTAATAATTCTGTGATTATCTGGGTGACTAATATTGTGTTCCATCATGGGATCCTAATCCATGATTTTTTTCCCTTTTCTCTTTAACTGTGTCCTGTGTACTAGTATGCAGGTGCTGGTACTGTGTTCAACGTACTAGTATGCACCCTTTTTTGTACCCACAGATCTGCCATCTGCCAATATATTTTACATCAGGGCAACTCCTAAAATATAATGCAGTACAGCACTTTTAATTGAAATATGTTTTTATTTCAGATTTAGTGAAGATAAGGAAATTGGCTTGTTGCTACAGCTTGTGACTTGTCACCCACCTCCATCAGCTGCTGGAGTCAGGTTTGTAAGCACTGGGCTCTGCATGCTCATTGCTTGTCCTTCACTCATATCTTCCCAAGAAAATGAACGCAAAGCTTCAGAATGGATCAAGTGGTTAGTTAAAGAGGAGGCATATTTTGCTGGGTAAGTGTTATATAAAAGTTCATATTTTATACAGTTTTGTAAACATATTACAATAAAAATATTGGCCATTTAATTAATGAAAATGCATTCCATAGCTTAGTTTACCCATAGACTCCCTTTGTATAATAAAAGATGACTTCTTGAAAAAAATTACGATAAAATTTTTAAACTTTATACAGTGGACCCCCGCCTAACGATATTATTTCAGTCCAGAAGTCTGTTTGGGTGCCATTATAGACCGAATTTGTTCCCATAAGGAATATTGTGAATTAAATTAGTCTGTTTCAGACCCCCAAAAATACACCTACAAAAGCACTTACAGAAATACACTTACATAATTGGTCGAGTTGGGAGCTGATCTTTAGGCGGGGGTCCACTGTATAACTTTTCTTCATGGAAGCATAATATGCATACAACACAAGGAATGATCTACATAGCTTAAACTTCCACCTTCTCACAATGGGAACACTTTCCAATAGTGTTCAGCTTGTTCACATAATGGCTCTGAGATAAAATATTGTCATCTTTCTGCAGACTTTTCAACTGGCAGTATAGGTGTGGTTTGAACCCATGACAAAAGTGGCAGGCCTATGCACTAACCACTGTACCATGCCAGCCTAATAAGATTCACACATGGCAGTCTAATAAGATTCATCCATGTCAGCCTAATAAGATTCACCGGCATGGTACAGTGATTAATACTTTTCCCTTGCCAGTTTTAGGGCTGACTCATCATGGGTTCAAACCCCATCTGTCCTGTAAATTGCTTATAATCGTGTTATGATTTCTATGAGGTAGTTGCTGTAGCGTTTTCATCACTATTCTCATGATCATTTATATGATGGATTTTTTTTTTTTTATTTTAACATGCTGGCCATCTTCCACCAAGGCAGGGTGACCCAAAAAAAAAAAAAACTTTCATCATCATTCACACTATCACCATCTTGCTAGATCTCCTAAAGAATTTCAGTATTAAACTGAATATTCATAAAAATGTGGCTGAAATTGATAAATAACTTTTAAATATTATCCAACAGTGGTCGACCTTTTTTCTATGATCAAACCGGCCATATCCCACTGAGGCCATATCCCACAAAGAAAAATGAAAATTTATCTTTTTTAAATTTAGTAATATATACAGGAGAAGAGGCTACTAGCCCCTTGCTCCTGGCAATTTAGTTGCCTCAAATTATACATATATATTATACTATTTTCTTACTTTTAGATTATCAGCGGATGGGTCTATGAAAGATGAGGTGAATCATAGAATTGATGAGGGGAAAAGGGTGAGTGGTGCACTTAGGAGTCTGTGGAGACAAAGAACTTTGTCCTTGGAGGCAAAGAGGGGAATGTATGAGAGTATAGTTTTACCAACGCTCTTATATGGGTGTGAAGCATGGGTGATGAATGCTGCAGCGAGGAGAAGGCTGGAGGCAGTGGAGATGTCATGTCTGAGAGCAATGTGTGGTGTGAATATAATGCAGAGAATTCGTAGTTTGGAAGTTAGGAGGAGGTGCGGGATTACCAAAACTGTTGTCCAGAGGGCTGAGGAAGGGTTGTTGAGGTGGTTCGGACATGTGGAGAGAATGGAGCGAAACAGAATAACTTCAAGAGTGTATCAGTCTGTAGTGGAAGGAAGGCGGGGTAGGGGTCGGCCTAGGAAAGGTTGGAGGGAGGGGTAAAGGAGGTTTTGTGTGCGAGGGGCTTGGACTTCCAGCAGGCATGTGTGAGCGTGTTTGATAGGAGTGAATGGAGACAAATGGTTTTTAATACTTGACGTGCTGTTGGAGTGTGAGCAAAGTAACATTTATGAAGGGGTTCAGGGAAACCGGCAGGCCGGACTTGAGTCCTGGAGATGGGAAGTACAGTGCCTGCACTCTGAAGGAGGGGTGTTAATGTTGCAGTTTAAAAACTGTAGTGTAAAGCACCCTTCTGGCAAGACAGTGATGGAGTGAATGATGGTGAAAGTTTTTCTTTTTCGGGCCACCCTGCCTTGGTGGGAATCGGCCAGTGTGATAATAAAATAAAATAAAATAGATTATCATCATATTGTGTAAAATACGAAGAGTTGTCTTATATATTGTGGAAACAATTCAGATTTGATTAACGGCTGTACATACTTAATATTAAAATAAATATTTTGATTCTCTTTAGTAAGTGCTCTGCATAGTGAATGAGTATATGCTTCATGGTTGTACAGATGTGAAGGGAAAGCTATTTTTTCATTTATTTTCAGAGCCAGTGGTGTATCATCATCCTTTGGTGCAATGCTTTTGTTGATGGCAATCCACTTCCATGTTCAGCAGCTTAGTGCAATTATTGAGTTGGTCAGTGCTGCACTGGGGATGAAGGTCATCACTCGTGCCAATAATCTCTCGCGTATCAAGTATATATTCACCCATGATGTCTTTACAGAGCAGGTAATTATCTTCTTCATTATAGACTTTTTTTTTCAACAAACCAGCCATATCCCACTGAGGCAGGGTGACTTAAAAAGAAAAACAAAAGTTTCTCTTTTTAAATTTTGTAATTTATACAGAAGGGGTTACTAGCCCCTTGCTCTTGGCTCTTTAGTCGCCCCTTACAACACACATGGCTTACGGAGGACGAATTCTGTTCCACTTCCCCATTGAGAATTATAGACTTCTTTCATTATTTTTATAACACCAGATATTCAGATAGGATGGCAGGTGTGTTAAAAAAGTTGTATATACATATGTGCAATATATTTTTTGTTTTATATTACTGTTACTCCTGATGCAAATCTCCTCAAAATTCTTTTCATTACTATGGGCTTTTTTATGTAAAATATAAATACTGTTTTGTAAACCCATCTTTGTAATGCTAGTTTTTCTTGGAAAATAAATATTTTATTATTATTATTATTTAATCTTAAAAATACTTCAACTTGAGTTTTTCCTTCATTTAGATTTTTTAATAATAGAGAAAGTTCTGAATTTTGAATTGCAAAATTTCAGTTTTCAATTTTCCTACCAATGCTAAACAAACAAATATACTACAACATAATGAAATACAACATACGATAATCATGTCAAAAGAAAGGAAATATCCTTCTGGTAAAGGATATATAATATTTTATCTTATTTCTCTAATTTTGTATTTTGCCATTTTATATTTTGACTTGTTAACTTTGAAGATGTTTATTTTCTTGCAGGTTGTCACTGCTCATGCTGTCAAAGTTCCGGTCACCTCTGGTCTCAATGCTAATATACCGGGATTTCTTCCAGTTCATTGTGTTTATCATCAGCTGAAGAGTCGGATGTTCACCAAGCATAAAGTTCCAATTAAGGATTGGATATATAAGTACGATGAAGTACAGAGTTCTTAGACAGTTTTTATTTTCAATTCTGTGTTCAGGATTAGAGACGGAAAACGTAACTTTGTGAATGCGCTTCTGTGATTGTTCATTGTAGGATATCATTTGTGCTATGTGCAAGATATAGCAGAACACTTAATATTAGGCCATAATGTGCCAGAAATTAATGATGATAAATGAACTAAGGAATTCTAAACATTTGTCCAAATGTAATGAAACTGATTGAGCCAGTAAATAATGAATTTGAATCTGTGTATCACAGAATTTGATTTGCAAACTTATATTTTCTTTTGTTCCCTTCAAAATTATGTATTTAATAGATACCTTATCTTCATCTTGCTGTTTCTTCTTTGGTATTTCTTCATTATGTATGATTTTTAATTCTGTAATAAGTTGGAACTATTAACTCTTAGGGTCCAGACCCCTGATCTGAAAATTGCTCTCAGGGTCTTAAGAATTTAAAAAAAAATACTTGTGGCTCCCAGCCTGGGCTTGCTGCTGATGCTGCATCCCACATGGCACCACCGCTGCTGCCGCCACCACCACCTACTGCCACATGTGATCTATTATCCATCTTGGATAATAGACTTCATCATCTCTTTCTGCATGTGGTGTCGTATCAAGTGACGCTTCACCGGTGAATATTCTTCCTTGCTGTTGCTACTCAAAATCAACATCACTGTGATCACCATTCCTCACATCTGAGCCATGGCCATGAGAAAATATAAGCTTACACTTATGATGTTGTAAAATTGAATATGAACCCGATGGACCAGCCCCAGAGGTGGATGGTTGAGGATTGTCAGAGTTTTCGGCCCTATTTCCATCATCCTGAGCATTGCTTTCAATCACTAACTATTTAAAACCATAGAATTTATCTTCACTTCCATCTTCATCACTGTTAGAACTGTCATTTGGGAAGAGATGATTCCTAATTCGCCAGGGAGTGAGGTTTTTGCTACTACGAGATATGGTGACCATTGGGTATTGAGATGACATTCCCATAATGCAGTATAGGTGCCCAGATTTTTTGTTTATTGTTCACACTGACCACACAGAAACATTCTTTTAGATGTAGGCCTATGTGCCTTCTGACGCTAAATTTGGATCCGCTAGAATTTTGGCGTAGAACTACGGCACAGACCCAGAATTCAGACCAGTAGTACTACAGCACAGGCTACAAAATGGCTAAGGATTAATTCAGTATGGGACAATGACTTATGTATTATAAGGCATTATCAATTGAGTAATGTTTGAATGATTTATTTGTAATTTGTATTGACAGCCAGATCTGTGCATCATCAACTCCACTGCACCCAGTTATGCCTCAGCTGATTGAGGTTTATGTCAACTCTATTATCTTGCCAGCCAGTAAAGGTGGATTGTCTGATACCTTCAATGAGCCAATTTCAGAAGAAGAAATAATGGCAGTTTTCTCCCAGTCCATATTTACAGAGAAAACTACAGAGGTAAATTAGTGCTATAGCTTTTTACTTGTTTAGCTATTCATATAATTATCTTTATTCCGTATGCACTTATGATAGTAGAGCTGTGCTTGTAATGTTCTTTATTCAGTGCTGTGTGTAGTTTGCTCTTCTGTCTTTGAACAAACCAGCTGCATGCCACCGAGGCAGCGTGGCCCAAAAAGAAAAACAGACATTTCTCTTTTTAACTTTAGTAATGTATACAGGAGAAGGGGTTACTAGCCCCTTGCCTCAGGCATTTTAGTTGCTTCTTATGACACATGGCTTATGGAGGAAGAATTCTGTTCCAGTTCTCCATGGAGATAAAGTGGAAATAAACAAGAACAAGAACTAGTAAGAAAATTGATGAAAACCCAGAGGGGTGAGTATATATATGCTTGTACATGCATGTGTAGTGTGACCTAAGTGTAAGTAGATGTATCAAGACGTACCTGAAACCTTGCATGTGTGTGAGACAGAAAAAAGGCACTAGCAATCCTACCATCATGTAAAACAATTACAGGTTTCCATTTCATACTCACTTGGCAGGACTTCCCTAGGCAGTTGCTGTCTACCAACCTACTACCTAGGTGATGACTTAATGTATTATTTAAATGATGACTACTAAAACAAAATTGTTTTTTGTGTGTTTTTAAGTGTTAATGATAAGAGCTTTTATTATGCAGTACATATTATTGATTTATTGTTCTTGATTTGGCAGATTTCTTCAATCGTTGCGTCACGATCAGCAGCGCCCTTTAGAAGCTTATCAACGAGAAAATCAGTGTTGCTGGAGAGACCCTTGTCCACATTCAGTCACTCTTCTGGACACATCATGCCCTCACCATCCATTATATCATCTCACTCGTCTTCATCTGATATGAAGTAATGCCTGTTTATGATTACCTGTTTGTGGTTACAGGAATAGAGTTGTATTCATGGTGTCCTGTCATCTTTATCATTAATTATTTTCAAACTGTAATAACTGTTGCAGACACAACTTCCTCCTCCTTCAGATTAGTGTCTAACTGTATACAATGCTATACAAATAATCCGTACATAGGAGAAAGAAACTTATGACGATGTTTCGGTCTGACTTTGACCATTAACTAGTTTAACATTTTAGATATGTCATTTTTGAGGTTTCAACTTATAACTGTCTTCAGTGAGATTACATTAACATGTCTCTCATTAAATTAAAATCTACTGTATACTAGTTATGATAAATAATAACTCTCATTTGTTGTAGTGTGCCTGTTGCTTCAGTGATGACCTCTCAGCTGCTGCTGCTCTACTATTTACTGTTATATGAAGACATGCGTCTTAATAACACACACCAACTGCTGGCAAACAGCCGACGTGTACACTCCTATTCTCCTCACTTGTTTGCTCAGTTGCCCATCAGATATTTGCTTTCACATGCACAAAGGGAGCAAAGACTATATGCAGGTGTGTTGGAAAAATCCTCTATTACCTTATCTTTTACATAAAAATTTTCCTAAAAAATTTTTTCTCCTATACTCATCATAAATTCCTTCTTTTTTTTGGGTCACCCTGCCTCGGTGGGAGATGGCCGACTTGTTGAAAAAAAAAAAATACATTTGCTAGATTTGTATGTCTTTTTACTATTGTACTATACAGTGGACCCTGAACCAATGGCATTAATCCGTTCCAGAGGGCTTGCCATTGGTCAAAATTGCTGTTGGTCGAGTTAATTTTCCCCACAAGAAATAATGGAAATAGAATTAATCCGTGCCTGACACCCCAAAGTCTGAAAAAAAAAAAAATTTACATGAAATATACATTTCCTTATATGGAAAGGAATGGGACATGCAAAATAAACAATAATTAAATGCCACTTACCTTTATTGTGGAGTTGTTGATGAGTGATGTGCCAGCAGCAGGGGAAATTCAGGATTGTCTGTTGCTTGGAAGGAGAATCCCCTTCCATAAAGACTTCAGGTACCAAGTCCTTTGGTGGGGTTACCTCCCTTCTTGGTTTTTTAATGCCACTAGGACCAGCTTGAGAATCAATGGACTACCCTCTACCACCATCACAACCAGTACCACTCTCTACCACCATCACTACCACCCTCTCCCACCATCACTACCTCCCTCTACCACCATCACAACCAGTACCACCCTCTACCACCATCACAACCAGTACCACCCTCTGCCACCATCACAACCAGTACCACCATCACTACCACCCTCTACCACCATCACTACCACCCTCTACCACCATCACTACCACCCTCTACCACCATCACTACCACCCTCTACCACCATCACTACCACCCTCTACCACCATCACTACCACCCTCTACCACCATCACTACCACCCTCTACCACCATCACAACCAGTACCACCCTCTGCCACCATCACAACCAGTACCACCATCACTACCACCCTCTACCACCATCACTACCACCCTCTACCACCATCACAACCAGTACCACCCTCTACTGCCATCACAACCAGTACCACCCTCTACCACCATCACTACCACCCTCTACCACCATCACTACCACCCTCTACCACCACCACTTTTGTATTTTTCTACAAACTTTTTCTTGAATTCTATCATGTTTCCCATATCCTTTACCAAAGGGCTGGCTCTAGAAGCTTTTTTTGGGGCCCAAGGTCTGTATAGTCCTTGTGGCTTAGCGCTTCTTTTTGATTATAATAATAATGGGGCCCAAGGTGGCTTATTTAGCAGATACAAGCACTAGAAACAATGGAATAATCCAAAATGTATGGGAGGCACATGTGGAAACCGACAGCTTGTAAACAATGGCACACTGAGTCTTGGAGTGGCTGGGGACATGTTCCTGACGAATGTCGTTGGCTAAGTTTTTCGCCGTTGGTTAAGGCATTTTTTCTACGGCAAAAAGCGCCATTAGGCGAAATTGCCGTTACTTAATGCCTCCGTTAGTTGAGGGTCGACTGTATATTTTTTTACTTTTATAAATTTAATAATTATATATTATTGTTACACTATTTTCAAGTGCTTTTTAGGAAAGCAGGTTGTAAGGAAAGAAGTTTGATATCAACAGTAAATTATATCAGTGTTTAAAGATTTAAGACAAGTTAATCAAAGAAAAGCTGAAGGGTAGTATGTGATAGTGTTAAGTTAGAAAATATGTTCAAAGCATCTAAGTCTAGTAATTGTCAAGCTTTTAAGATCTTGTGACTGTTCCATCATCAACACCAAACATTTCAGCAGAGATGTTTTGTAAGCTCCCCCTCAGACCAGATTTTTTTCCCCTGCAATCATTCTTATGTACAATAGCTTCATTTGGAATTAGAATTAAAGATAAGGTCATAAACACAAAAAATACATGTTCTATACATAATTATTATTATACCTTCTTATATTTCTTTCAAAATTGGGAAATCTTAAAGGCTAATTCTTTCTCAGTCTCAAGGGTGCTGAGTTTTAGTATTTATAACTGTAACTTATATCTGAGTCTTGAGCTGTCATACCTTTCCCTAGCCATGTATTACTCCTCTTCATAGTAGCTGCAACCTTACACTCAATATGCAACAAAATCAAGTAGATACTGGAGCGAACAACATACATGTTTATGGGAGATCATTTTGTTCTTTGCAAATTTTCTGTTACAAATGCTGTTAATTTTCTACTTGTAAATATTGTTTGGAGGGGCATGTGAATTGTGATGTCTTATAAAGTAAAAGTTTTTGACAGGTCTGTTTTCCCCGCTCGTGAAATTGTTGGTGAGTCATTATCCACAGCTGTGTTTGGTAGAAGACTGGCTTTACCAAAGTCCCTCAGCTAATTCCAGTCTTGGTATTCTACCCCCCAAAGTCCCTCTGGATCCTCACTCTGTTACCAAAGGTTTGTTAACATTAGATTGTTAAGCATCCCTCTAAGTCCTACAGTTTGACAATGTTTCTTTAATTGCCCATTATTGAGATTTTTTGTAAAGTATTTCAAGACATTACATGGAGAATACTTCAGTAAAGTTATTTCTAACTTTCATCACTTGTGCACTTGATACTCATGTATATGCACACTTTTGTTATTAGGAGGTGTAGCCACTTGTTAGCTGCTTTGGCTGGGAATTTTCTTTTAATGTTTTTACTGCTAATAAAGCTCATCCCCACACTTCAACTTATAATTGCACTTGATAATGCAAAATTTGCTACTTCAGTGTATAAATCTTAAGACAAATTCTTATTGTAGTTTCTCTAATGAGATAGTATAGTTATTATTATTACTGTTATTCATGGGGAAGTTCTAATACCAGAAGGACTATATAGTGCTTAAGGAATGGTAGGCAATGGTAGATGAAGGGCTCTTCATGCAATGAATTGGAGCTACCCTAACCAAGGAAGGGGAGGGCAGCTCTAGTTCATTGCATGAGGAGCCCTTCAACAGTATCAAAACCTGCCTTAGGGACAAGATAGTGAGTAGGACTTGTTGGAGGCTGGGGTACTGCCCTCAATCATAGTGACTGACTTAATATATCATTTAAATGATGACTACTAAAACAAAATTATCTAGCCAACTATCTACTCTGTTGAGAAATTTAATTTTTTATTTGGTATAACAAATACAATATTCCCGCAGCTATGGAAGATGCAGCAGATAAACCTGGCCGACTCCTGGTTTTGCTAGATTGCTTGATGAGGATGCCACCTCATCAACTCTGGCAGTTAGCTGCTCCTATTACTTCGTCCATCAAGTGCTTATTACAACCAGGAGTGCCACGTAAAGTATTAGGTAAGTCATGAAGAGGTGTTAGGTTGAAAAGTGTATTCTTACTCTGTGTGTAACAAAAGGCCTAGATTGAAATTGATGCTGAATAAGCCAATTTGAAGAAAACACAGGGCACACCTATTAACTGGTATGCTGTTGGATTGTGAGCAAGATAATATCTATGAAGGGATTCAGGAAAACCAGTTAGGTTTGAGTTCTGGAAGTGAGTGGTATAGTTCCTGTACTTTGAAGAATGAGTGGAGATGTTGTAGTTTGGAGGGTTATTAAATTGTAATAGCCATGTATTTCTGGAGAGACATCTAAAGAATTAAAGTGAGTGTTTTTTCTTCTTTAGGTTACCCTGTCTTGGTAGGAAATGACTAATGCTTACGTGTATATTGATATGCAGTTGGTTTTACAAAATGTTGCACATGTTTTTACTGAAAGTAAAAATAAATAGAAAAATTATGGTTATGTCAACAAGATTTCACAAATAGGAGAAGTGATGTAATGTAAATAAGAAGAAAGCATTTTTAATTTAAAGGGCAATGTGGATTACATGAAAGAGTGCCAGGCCATTATGTTGTGCTGCAGTGTAAATATGGCCAAAAGAAACCATTATTGGGAGACAGCTTTCTATATTGTCTGCATTTATTTATGCATTGTATTACTGTAACTTCAGTTTTATTTAACTTGTCTTTAAGTCTTCTTAATTTATGCAATATAATTTTTTTTTTTCTCAACAAGTCGGCCATCTCCCACCTAGGCAGGGTGACCCTAAAAGAAAGAAAATCCCCGAAATGAAAATACTTTCATCATCATTCAACACTTTTACCTCACTCATACATAGTCACTGTTTTTGCAGAGGTGCCCAGATACAGCAGTTTAGATGCATATATAAAGATGTATTATACATCCCTCCAAACTGCCAATATCCCAAACCCCTCCTTTAAAGTGCAGGCATTGTACTCCCCATTTCCGTTACACAAGTCCAGCTATATAAGAATACCTGTAATTTTTACAGTTATTATGTTTGTATTTTAGATACATATAGACAAATATGGATGCGGCTCAATTCCCTGTTTCCTCGTCGTCTTTGGGCAATGACTGTAGAAGGACTTCTGCCAGAAGACACTCAAGGCAGGTCAAGAAAAATACTTACAGAAGATGATATTATACTGGACCCTTTGTATGTGCTTAGATGTGATGATAGAGTATTTAGGTATGTAAGAAAGCAAAACACAAATAATATTGTGTTATGGTGTCTCAAATATTACTAAATCTCATAAATGCTGTTACTGCTTTTGAAATGTGTTATCACTTATAATGTTGACTATTAAATACAAGCAACTGTTGCAACTCAACTAATCAAAAATTAGAAAAACATACTTAATATATCTGTATTATTTGCAGGTGTGCACCTCTCCTACAGCTGGTAAATTACATGTTACAAGTGTATCTGCTGTCTTCCCGTACTTTCTTGTCTCAGCAGATGCAAAACACACCTGTAGTGAGTGCTCCCCACAGTCTCATTGCAGGTAGTAGCAACACCTCACCACAAGCCTTGGAAGAAGAACGGGAAAAGTTGCGAGGTGCACTTGTTCTTACTCAGGAAAGTGCTGCTGTGCAGATCCTGCTTGAGGCCTGTTTAATGAAAGATTATGAAAAGGTGGGCAGTCTTTCTGTAAGTAATATTTTTTCCAGTGGTTGTAGTAATAGACTTAGACTTAAGTCCAGTGACAAGTGATTTTTGTCTTCATTCCTATCAAGCACACTCACACAAGCATGCTAGAGGTTCAAGCCTCTAGCACTAAAGACCTTTACCCTCTACTTCCACCCTTCTTGAGATCATGCCTACCCTTCCTTCCTTTCCCAGATTTATATACCTTCTTAGTCATCCTATTTGGGTCAATGCAAATATTTGCTAATTGCCAATATTGTAGCTTTGTGCTCCCTAATGGCAGTTATTATAACTTGTATGGCTCTGCTCAGGATTTGGCTGAAGGGAAGCCTGGCTGAGAGAGTAGCAATTGGTCTTTTGATTACTGAATGGAGGATTGAGCCTCCACAGTAACTTCTGTATAAATAAAAAATAATAACTAATTCAGAATTGTCTGATTTAACAATATTTAAAAATAAGGCAGAGGATGTGAATGCATTTCTCTTTAATTCTTAGAAGCTCTAAGGTTTGCTTCTGATATGTCAAGAAATCGTATTTAGTACTGTAGAACTAATTTACTGTTAATATGAAACAAAACATGAGAGATATTCAGAGATAGCTAGAGGTATACACAGTATATAAATGCCAGGTAATCTTAACTGTGGTGTTGCCTAATGTTTTGCTATTAATTCAGGCTGGTGCTGGAGCATTGATTCTTCAGGAGATACGCAGTATTGTGTGTTCATATATCCATCAAGCATTCCTCAAGGATACTACATTGGCAAAGTTGGTCCATTTTCAGGTTGGTTGACACAGTTTATTGTTAATAGGTATGCCTGTCTCTATATTTTTTTATTATTTTTTTTATTATCACACTGGCCGATTCCCACCAAGGCAGGGTGGCCCGAAAAAGAAAAACTTTCACCATCATTCACTCCATCACTGTCTTGCCAGAAGGGTGCTTTACACTACAGTTTTTAAACTGCAACATTAACACCCCTCCTTCAGAGTGCAGGCACTGTACTTCCCATCTCCAGGACTCGAGTCCGGCCTGCCGGTTTCCCTGAACCCCTTCATAAATGTTACTTTGCTCACACTCCAACAGCACGTCAAGTATTAAAAACCATTTGTCTCCATTCACTCCTATCAAGCACGCTCACTCATGCCTGCTGGAAGTCCAAGCCCCTCGCACACAAAACCTCCTTTACCCCCTCCCTCCAACCTTTCCTAGGCCGACCCCTACCCCGCCTTCCTTCCACTACAGACTGATGCACTCTTGAAGTCACTCTGTTTCGCTCCAGTCTCTCTACATGTCCGAACCACCTCAACAACCCTTCCTCAGCCCTCTGGACAACAGTTTTGGTAATCCTGCACCTCCTCCTAACTTCCAAACTACGAATTCTCTGCATTATATTCACACCACACATTGCCCTCAGACATGACATCTCCACTGCCTCCAGCCTTCTCCTCGCTGCAACATTCATCACCCATGCTTCACACCCATATAAGAGCGTTGGTAAAACTATACTCTCATACATTCCCCTCTTTGCCTCCAAGGACAAAGTTCTTTGTCTCCACAGACTCCTAAGTGCACCACTCACCCTTTTCCCCTCATCAATTCTATGATTCACCTCATCTTTCATAGACCTATCCGCTGACACGTCCACTCCCAAATATCTGAATACATTCACCTACTCCATACTCTCTCCCCCCAATCTGATATCCAATCTTTCATCACCTAATCTTTTTGTTATCCTCATAACCTTACTCTTTCCTGTATTCACTTTTAATTTTCTTCTTTTGCACACCCTACCAAATTCATCCACCAATCTCTGCAACTTCTCTTCAGAATCTTCCAAGAGCACAGTGTCATCAGCAAAGAGCAACTGTGACAACTCACACTTTATGTGTGATTCTTTATCTTTTAACTCCACGCCTCTTGCCAAGATCCTCGCATTTACTTCTCTTACAACCCCATCTATAAATATATTAAACAACCATGGTGACATCACACATCTTTGTCTAAGGCCTACTGTACAGTATCTTTAGTGGATATTATAATTCTTCTTTTAGCAAACCAGCCATATCACACTGAGTCAGGGTGGCCCAAAAAGAAAAACGAAAGCTTCTCTTTTTAACTTTAGTAATGTATACAAGACAAGGGGTTACTAGTCCCTTGCTCCCAGCATGTTTGTTGCTTCTTACGACACACATGGCTTACGGAGGAAGAATTCTTTCCCACTTTTCCATGGAGATAAGAGGAAATAAAGAACAACAACTATTAAGAAAAGAGAAGAAAACCCAGATGGGTATGTATGTATATATATACCTGTACATGCATGTGTAGAGTGACCTAAGTGTAAGTAAAACTAGCAAGATATACCTGCTATCCTGCATGTTTATGAAAAGAAAAAGAAAGACATCAACAATTGTACCATCTTGTAAAACAATTACGGGTTTCCATTTCATACTCACTTGGCAGGACGGTGGTACCTCTTTGGGTGGTTGCTGTCTACCAACCTACTACCTAGGCACTAATACTATACAAACATTTATTTTGAACTTCAAGTTGTCTGGTTATAATGTTTAATTATTTTTTTGCTTAGGGTTACCCAGGAGAGCTAATTGGACTGGTTGTTCGTGGAGTCCCTTCTATGCATATTGCTATTGGTCTAAATTGGATCCCTGAACTTCTTCAACTTCCTGACCTGGATAAGCAACTGTTTGCTGTAGAGCTCACCTCTCATTTGGCTCTTCAGAATGCCATGCCATCTACACTCAGTATATCAAGACTCGCAATCAATACACTGGCTACACTTCTTTCAGGTGGGTGAGAAAAGTATTTAGTTGACAGCAAGAGGAACAAAAGTCACAATACCATGGCTGGAATAATTCACAGATAACTGACTATTTAGAGTTAGTTATTTGTGAACTGTTTCCTCCAACTCTTTGGAGAGGAAACTTTAGATGATATTTCTGTCTTTCTTTGGCCAGTTATAAAATCACAAAGTTATGACTTGATATGTAATGGTCCAGGATGAACTAAAATATCGTCTAAATTTCCCTTTTCAAAAAAATCTTTTATTTGATAATTAAAAAAAGCCTTACCAGTTCTTAAAATGCCACAGTTGCAGCAATCTTAAAACAAATATGTATCATTGAATTAATAAAAAATACAAGAAAAGTACATGATGTCAAATATAATAGTACAGTATGTCAAGGAAAGGTTGGAGGGAGGGGATAAAGGTGGTTTTTGTATGGAAGGGGCTTGGACATCCAGCAGGCATGTGTGAGTATGTTAGATAGGAGTGGAGGCAAGTTGTTAATATGACTTGAAGTGCTGTTGGTGTGTGAGCAAAGTAACATTTATAAAGGGATTCAGGAAAATTGGTGCGCTAGACTTGGATACTGGAGGTGGGAGGTACAGTGTGTGTGCTCAGGAGGTGTGGGGATATTTGCAGTTTTGAGGAGCATCTGAGCTGTAGTATTGATGTGCTTTTGGCAAAACAGTGATGGAATGAGTGATGGCAAAAGTATTTCTTCTTTTTCGGGTCACCCTACCTCAATGGGAGACAGCCAGTGTTAAAAAAAATAAAGTACGTCTGCATACACCTTGGCTAAGACCTGCTGCTTCCTAACCCTCTGTGGCAACAACTTTTCTTAATTTTTTTTTTTTTTTTTTTTTTCAACAAGTCGGTCGTCACTTATACATTTGAAAAATGCTTTATATTTTAGAAGATAAAATCTATTGAATTGCAGAGTTATGACAAATTGAACAGCTGCTCTGAAATTGCACACTAGTGTTTTATCCTGCTTGGGCTTGTTGGTTACAGATGCTTCAGGAACAGTCAGAGGGTTTGGCATCATCCATGCCCTTACAAAATTCACTTGATGGAGTTCATTATTATGAAATATATTTTTGGAGGCATGTGTCTGTGGGCTCAAAAATAAAAGATTTTGTATTCCTCGTACAGCTTTTCAGCCTGTAAATGAACCATATTGTGTTAAAATGAATTCCTTAAATTTTTCAGGAATTGGGTAATATGCATGACATACTAGTGGATTCTGTCTTAAAATATTGATGCTTAATTACTGTTTTATAGTTTTCGGGAAAGAATGAAGTTAAACTATAACATTTTTTTTTAAATAACATTCTTTTTTTATTAACAGTTTTGGGTGAAGAGGAGAGACTTTTAATAATGGAAGCCTCACTGCCATCTCTGGTGGGTATTGGCAAGGCCTTCCCAGCACTTATAGATGATCTCGTTCATCTGCTGGTGATGTATGGACAGGTGGCCACTGCACAGTCTGCCCTCTCTGCTGCACCAGCTCCCAAGTCTATTGGTAAATGGTTATAGATTATTTAATTTGCATTCTTCATAAAATAATAATATTCATAATCTTGCTGACTTTAATAATAATAATAAATCAGCTAGTTTTTTTAACATAGCCATCTCCCAAAGAGCCAGGGTGACCCCCAAATAAAGAAAACTATAAAGTATTAATATTTCGTTTGGGGTGATGATAAAACCATATGGGTCATACAGCACCTGGGGGAGGGGGTTGGAAAGGGGAGGCATTCAGGTTTGATCCAAGGAAGGGGAGCACAGATCCAGTTCTTTTGGATACAGTGCTGAAGTGAAACCTAGACTACATATCAATGGACACATTATGTCCTCTCCAGCTGTTTAGAGACAGTCAGAGATAACTGGTGTGTTAGAAAATAAATATATAATGCAAGATAGAAGATTTCATAGAAACTGTTAATTTATTATAAAATTCAGCCTCAAAGCATGGGAATGTTATTTTTAGTAATATATCTGCTATGATTGGCAAGAGTCTTGGCAGCCTGCTGACAATAGGCACAGTACTGTATTGCTGCTTCTAGCTTTTTTTTATGTAAAGTAAAAGGACACAAGTGCAACTAATGTGACATTTTATTGTGGCAACGTTTTGCTCTCCAGGAGCTTTATCAAGCCATTACTTGATAAAGCTCCTGGAGAGTGAAAAGTTGCCACAATAAAATGTCACATTAGTTGCACTTGTGTCCTGTTACTTTACATATTGTCGGTAATTCTACCAACTTTATTACAGCTTTTTTTTATACAATCCATTTATTGTATTTAAGCATAGTGAGGTACATGTTTTCATGGAAATCTCTAATCCAATGGGACCATCAGCAAGCATTGTCTGCAGTTGGCCAACATTTTTTCACATCATAAATTAATATCACTCAGTGCATTTGTACATGGTTTGAATACTGTACAATAATGCAAAAACCATTGATAGGGTACCTACCAATCCCTAGATTTTTTAACACAGAGGCTATTTCACACCATCATTTACTTACTTTTTTGCCAGAAGTGTGTTCTTGCAGTTCAGGTCTTTATCTTAACTGCAATATCCTCACCCTTCCTTCAGGGTACAGGCTCAGTACTTGCCTTATCCAAATAAAATAAGGTATTCTGAATTTACCAGGTTCAGGTTAGAAGGATTAAACTGTTTCTAATAAATTATGGCATCTAAACACAAATTATTTACTGTACAATTGTACATTTTTAAGCACAGACTAGCTACTAGTACTTTACAAAACTTTTAACCTCAAATGAAATAAACCTGTTACTAATACAGTGATTCAAATTTTCAGCATTTTTGGATTCACTTGATCAAGAGATAAAGGATGCTGAGGAGTACAAGATGGACTATGAAGAGTGTCCTCCTCCTTCACCTAAGACTGTTTACAAGAAACTAGTGCGAAAAGTTCCTCGTGAAGATAGTCTTTTTGCCAGGATAATAGAAGCTTTTAAGAAGCTGATAATGGAAAGTACAATGACCCATAATTTGTACTAAGTTAGACTCTTGTTAGGATATTTACAAATAGATGTATATGCTGTACAAACCATTATACAGGATGAACAAGTCCCTGTGCACCAATACAAATTATATTATAATGTAGAAATAGTTCATTTAATTTTTTACATGTACAGTGACCTGCTCAACTAACTCTCCTTCCCACTCTTTATTTTTTTTTTTAAGCTTTGTCATTCCACTGCTTGTTATTCTATTTACAAAAAATAAGAGTGCAGGTGATCATGCAGAGCAGATGAAACTACTTTTAAGAATTGTTCCCTGACTCTAAACCAAACTGGATAGAATACATTTTATTTTTATGATTTATCCCCTCAAATGGGGTTGCCTTTACATTTGGCCGAATGAATGGGACCTACCTGCTATTTGCTCGGATCAAACCTGATCACTGCTCATTTCCTAAGTACCATATGACATCTGTGGACATAGCACTTTCTTGTTGACATAGCTTGTAAGTGATCAAAAAAACACACTGCAGATGGCCTTAATTAGTATAATGTTTCACCTTCATGATGCTTTATCATGTACATTGCATATAAAAACTAGGATGTATATAGTGCTGAGAAGTGCCGGAGTGAGGTGCTGGGCAAGATTGAAATTGACATGTCCTTTCTGGTATAGACAAGGTGAACTGTCAGGCAATATTGAGGTGAGGGCTCTGGTCAGTTGCAGACAATGGGCATTTAGTAACATTGGATGTCACATGGATCATGTGGTTAGGTCCTGGCAGTTTGTATTTTTTTGTGTTTAAGAATGGTTTTAACACTGGGTTTAGCTTAAATATATTTGTCTCTGTTCTGTGTGATAATGTTAGAGACAGCTATAGCTGCTGACTCAAAACACAACCACCTCTGTTATTTTCGTGGTACAAGAGACAAGTTTGAATTTGAGATATGCTTGTGTGTTTGCGTACCACACGCATTCCAGGTGTTGTCCATCCTACCGGTGTATCTGTGTTCTTATAGTCAGAAATTCGAGCCCCTTCATGTTTGTCCAATGTGGGCATAATCGTGTACTCCACATGGTATGCTGTGTACCCATGGTTTGTTCCTAGAGTGGGGAGTCCTAGTGATTTCTTCAGTAGTTTTTTGGCATGTACAGCTATCCCAGTGTCAGCTGTATATAGAATACAGTTAATGCACTAAAAGAGGAGGCAGTTAGGGTAAGATATAAACAGCTATTGGAGGATAGATGGGCTAATGAGAGCATAGGCAATGGGGTCGAAGAGGTATGAGGTAGGTTTAAAAATGTAGTGTTAGAGTGTTCAGCAGAAGTTTGTGGTTACAGGAAAGTGGGTGCGGGAGGGAAGAGAAGCGATTGGTGGAATGATGATGTAAATAGAGTAGTAAGGGAGAAAAAGTTAGCATATGAGAAGTTTTTACAAAGTAGAAGTGATGCAAGGAGGGAAGAGTATAGGAGAAAGAGAGAGGGTTAAGAGAGTGGTGAAGCAATGTAAAAAGAGAGCAAATGAGAGAGTGGGGGGAGATGTTTTTCAACAAATTTTGTTGAAAATAAGAAAAGTTTTAGAGTGAGATTAACAAGTTAAGGAAGCTTAGAGAACATATGGATTTGTCAGTTAAAAATAGGAGAGAAGGTTGTTAAAAGGAGAGTTAGAGGTATTGGGAAGATGGAGGGAATGTTTTGAGGAATTTTTTTAAATGTTGTGAAGATAGGGAAGCTGTGATTTCGTGTATAGGGGAAGGAGGAATAAAAATCTTGTAGGAGTGAGGAAAAGCCAGTTGTGAGGTGGGGGGAAATTCGTGAGGCAGTAGGTAAAATGAAAGGGGGTAAGACAGCCGGGGTTGATGGGATAAAGATAGAAATGTTAAAAAACAGGGGGGGATATAGTTTTGGAGTGGTTGGTGCAATTATTTAATAAATGTATGGAAGAGGGTAAGGTTTCCTAGGGATTGGCAGAGAGCATGCATAGTTCCTTTGTATAAAGGCAAAGGGGACAAAAGAGAGTGCAAAAATTATAGGGGGATAAGTCTGTTGAGTATACCTGGTAAAGTGTATGGTAGAGTTATTATTGAAAGAATTAAGAGTAAGACGGAGAATAGGATAGCAGATGAACAAGGAGGCTTTAGGAAAGGTAGGGGGTGTGTGGACCAGGTGTTTACAGTGAAACATATAAGTGAACAATATTTAGATAAGGCTAAAGAGGTCTTTGTGGCATTTATGGATTTGGAAAAGGTGTATGACAGGGTGGATAGGGGAGCAATGTGGCAGATGTTGCAGGTGTATGATGTAGGAGGTAGGTTACTGAAAGCAGTGAAGAGTTTTTACGAGGATAGTGAGGCTCAAGTTAGAGTATGTAGGAAAGAGGGAGATTATTTCCCAGTAAAAATAGGCCTTAGACAAGGATGTGTGATGTCACCATGGTTGTTTAATATATTTATAGATGGGGTTGTAAGAGAAGTAAATGCGAGGGTCTAGGCAAGAGGCGTGGAGTTAAAAGATAAAGAATCACACATAAAGTGGGAGTTGTCACAGTTGCTCTTTGCTGATGACACTGTGCTCTTGGAAGATTCTGAAGAGAAGTTGCAGAGATAGGTGGATGAATTTGGTAGGGTGTGCAAAAGAAGAAAATTAAAAGTGAATACAGGAAAGAGTAAGGTTATGAGGATAACAAAAAGATTAGGTGATGAAAGATTGGATATCAGATTGGAGGGAGAGAGTATGGAGGAGGTGAATGTATTCAGATATTTGGGAGTGGACGTGTCAGCGGATGGGTCTGTGAAAGATGAGATAAGATAAGATAAGATTTCGTTCGGATTTTTAATCCCCGGAGGGTTAGCCACGCAGGATAACCCAAGAAAGTCAGTTCGTCATCGAGGACTGTCTAACTTATTTCCATTGGGGTCCTTAATCTTGTCCCCCAGGATGCGACCCACACCAGTCGACTAACACCCAGGTACCTATTTGCTGCTAGGTGAACAGGACAACAGGTGTAAGGAAACGTGTCGAAATGTTTCCACCCGCCGGGAATCGAACCCGGGCCCTCCGTGTGTGAAGCGGGAGCTTTAGCCACCAGGCCACCAGGCCACCACTGAGGTGAATCATAGAATTGATGAGGGGAAAAGGGTGAGTGGTGCAATTAGGAGTCTGTGGAGACAAAGAACTTTGTCCTTGGAGGCAAAGAGGGGAATGTATGAGAGTATAGTTTTACCAACACTCTTATATGGGTGTGAAGCATGGGTGATGAATGTTGCAGCAAGGAGAAGGCTGGAGGCAGTGGAGATGTCATGTCTGAGGGCAATGTGTGGTGTGAATATAATGCAGAGAATTCGTAGTTTGGAAGTTAGGAGGAGGTGCGGGATTACCAAAACTGTTATCCAGAGTGCTGAGGAAGGGTTGTTGAGGTGGTTCAGACATGTAGAGAGAATGGAGTGAAACAGAATGACTTCAAGAGTGTATCAATCTGTAGTGGAAGGAAGGTGGGGTAGGGGTCGGCCTAGGAAAGGTTGGAGGGAGGGGGTAAAGGAGGTTTTGTGTGCGAGGGGCTTGGACTTCCAGCAGGCATGCATGAGCGTGTTTGATAGGAGTGAATGGAGACAAATGGTTTTTAATACCTGACATGCTTTTGGAGTGTGAGCAAAGTAACATTTATGAAGGGGCTCAGGGAAACCGGCAGGCCAGACTTGAGTCCTGGAGATGGGAAGTACAGTGCCTGCACTCTGAAGGAGGGGTGTTAATGTTGCAGTTTAAAAACTGTAGTGTAAAGCACCCTTCTGGCAAGACAGTGATGGAGTGAATGATGGTGAAAGTTTTTCTTTTTTGGGCCACCCTGCCTTGGTGGGAATCGGCCAGTGTGATAATAAAAAAAAAAAATAAAAATAAAAAAGAAAATAGTGGGTTCCACTTCTTTGAGTTGTTCCTTGAACGTATGCAGGTTGAAACATATTGTTACTATGCCCAAGACTTTGTTGACAGGTGATTACCTTGTCAGTGGGGAACAGTAAATATGGAAGCGATGCACAGATTGGCAAGTGTCTTCTTGTTCTTGATAGTGGTGTTACACAAACACACATGCATATATCATGAATTTCAATCAAATGCAGAGGTGGTTATGTCTTGAATCAGCAGCTGTAGTCTAACACCATCACACAGGACAGAGGCAAATACATTTTAGTTAAACCCAGTGCTAAAACTAATCTTAAACACAAAGCACCAATTACCAGGACCTGACCTCATGATCCATGCAACATTTAGCATTGTCCAGCTTCCATTGTTTGCACCTGATCAAACCTCCTCACCTCAGCATTGCTTGACATCTCACCTCTCCTATACAAGAAGGCATCTCTCAACTTCAACCTTGCCTAGCACCTGACTCCAGCACTCACATACATGTCGCTAGTTTTAATATTCGGTGTATTTAAAAAAACTTCATGAAGTTTAAACATTGCTTTTTTTTTTTTTCTTTTAACACACCGGCCGTATCCCACAGAGGCAGGGTGACCCAAAAAAGAAGGAAAATCCCCAAAAAGAAAATACTTTCATCATCATTCAACACTTTCACCTCACTCACACATAATTACTGTTTTTGCAGAGGTGCTCAGAATACAACAGTTTAGAAGCATATATGTATAAAGATACACAACATATCCTTCCAAACTGCCAAACTGCTGTATGTCTTTTAAACTAATTTATGTTAAGTCATTTCGCTAGTTTTCTGTATGTGCACATAGATTTTTCAGCTACCTTGTATACTAATTATTATGCCCCTGATGAAAAATACTTTTTTAAATCCTTTGTCAATGAGAGCATTCTTTGTATTCAACATTAAAATTAATAAATTTTCTTTGTTTCATTAACATAAGGGAAAAGGTGATCAGATGTAAGGGCATCATAGTTATCCTTAGATGTTCCTCACTGTAAATGTTCGGGGAGCTGTCATTTGACTTGCAGGAAAAATAAATAAAAGTAACCAGTAGATATGATGATGGTAATAGTGAGGTTAGGAGCAGGATGCATCTAAGTGAAGGGTTTATGCTATGGCTGTGTCACATGGCAATCTCAAGAAAGCACATCCTAGAATCATGTGAGCTAAAGTTGTGGAAATGTTGTAACTCGGCTTTTTTGAACATATGTGTTGAAGATGAATGGTTCAGGAAACCGACACGTTGATAAATTAGACACATGTGCAACTCTTGGGTATTTTTATTGAGGAAACGTTTCACCGCACAGTGGCTTCATCAGTCCATACACAGGAGAAATGTGTCGGTTCTCTGAACCATTCATCTATGATCCTGTCAGACACTGCAACTTCTTGGGATCTTAATACTTGGGAATTCTTCGCTTGCCTAACCCTTAGGCATGACCTACTTCCACATTGGACAAATGTGACACCACCTACGACTGCTGCACCACTCCTGCCTACGGTATACAAGATACTTCTCCGCACATGTACTGTACTCTATTCAAGATTGATGGACGGACCACATCAACTCAAGGTTGAGGGACTGATTACCTCATTCTCCTCCTGTTCACGTTTCTCCTTTGTATGGACTGATGAAGCCACTGTGTGGCAAAACGTTTCCTCAGTAAATATACCCAAGAGTTGCACATGTGTCTAATTTATCAATATGTGTCGAAGGTGGTGAGAGCCTGAGAGGGAGAGATGGCGCTTCAAATCTAGTTCCTTGCAAATCAGTTAGTATCTTTCCAACACATGAGATGTCCCTCAGTGTTTTCTGTGTATGACAAGCATTGCTAGTGTCATCCCTGCTGCAGTTGTACTTTTTTTTTGTTTGGACACTAGCCATCTCCCACTGAGGCAGGGTGACCCAAAAAAGAAACACTTTCACCATTATTTAAACTATCACTGTCTTGTCTGAGGCACTCATAAATTCTTGGCCAAGTCTCTCAGTTTTCCCTATATAAATTTAGTACTTCATTATGGTTATAATAATAAAATCCCTATATAAATCTTAGTCACACAAGATGGTATATATTCTACTCCTGTTTCTTTAGAGGGAGCATTAAATGGAGACTTCCTTGGCGAGGTCAGTGATTGAAGTAGTGGCAACTTCGGTATTGCCTCCCACAAGAGTGGGAATCTTGACTGTCCCCAGTAGTAGAATCATGCTGACTGCGATCTTTCTCTGTATATACCCGCTTGTTTCTGCGTGGTGCATTGATATAAAAAATTGCTTGAGAGGTCAGAACATAAAGAAGGAAATTGAAATAGCTTGAATCCATGCCCCCCTCAAGGAAGGTTCCTTGATGTTGGTGAGGGGCTCTTGATTTAGGGAATTGGATCTGTGCTCCAGTTCCCCGAATTAAGCCTGAATGCCTTCCACATCCCCCCCCCAGGCGCTGTATAATCCTCCGGGTTTAGCGCTTCCCCCTTGATTATAATAATAATACATGTAATTGAATCCATGCTTGAAGCTGACTGACGTGGCCG